CCACCACGCCCAGCTCATTTGGTCTTTAAAGGGATTTTTAAAAGCATGCCTCCACTGTGGTAGGAAAAATCAGACAGCCTGGGTTAAAAAAAAAAAAAAAAAGTAAAATACAAGAGCAAGAACAGACACCCAGCAAGAGGAGCTGATACAGTCCCGCTCCCTGCAGGCGCACGGCCCAGCCCAGTGACACTGCAAGCTCATGAGGAGAACCACCAGCCAGGCCTAAACGCCTGAGTCTGGATATGTTTCTGCTGCCCATGGCCTTTCTGTACCAGGCCATCCCCCAGGGCAGAGCCAGCCCCTCTATCAGAGCACAACAACCATGAGTGCCACACTGCCTGAGGCCTGCTCCTCACAGCAGCTTCACATCTGTCTCTGAAGTCCAAAGTGCCCGGCAGAGCAGTCACACAGCTGGTGCTCAGAAAGCACACTGAAACCACATCCAGCTGTGAGTGGCTAAAGTCTCAAAAGAAATGGGTTCTCAAAAGTACACGGGTTAGGCCAAAGGCAGAAGTGCAAAGTCAAAGCCACTGGGGCCCAAAGAGCCCAGGAATAGATCCCTAGGACAGGCGGGCTCTGGGTTGTGTGACCAGCACCCTCCTGCTTTTGGTCATGTCCATAGCCTCCTGCAGACCGACCCACAGGGTGCATTTCACCGACCCATCCCGCACATACTTGGCGAACTTTACGGAGGTTGCATTCCGAGGCACAAACCCAGTGTGGAATTGAATCTGGAACATCTTCATGGATGCCATCTGCAAGAGATCAGGCCTGGCTGAAGAGCGGGCTGGGGTTGGGGCTGAGGTCACGGAGAGGACCTGCTCAACAGCACAGCCCCTGGGGCCAGGACTTATGACCCCTACGATGCACCCTGCAAGGTCCAAGGACACAGAGGTGCCAGGCACTGGGCATGGGGGATAGTGTCTTGGAATAGGGGACCCATGGCCCATGCCCCGCAGCCCCCCATGGTACTGCACCAGGGAGCCCCTGGGTGTCTCAGGATACAGTCCCCTCTGCCGGTACTGTGTGGTGTGCTGGGAACCAGCCCAGGGGACAGTTGCAGCTCCTCCACCGCCTGCCTGACCCAGACCTCTGAGAGCCCAGGGAGCTGGCGGCCTACTTGGCTGAGGTGACCTCACCTTGGCCTGCAGCCGCCCACCTAGGGTAGACCTGGCATGGTAAATGACAATAAGCACGTCGCCTTGAACCGTTATGCCCAAGGGGATGACTGCCTTGCCGTCCTCGATCTTAAACTCCCTAGAACAGAATGAGAAATGGCTCATGAGCCACAGCAAGAACTCCAAGATCTGGAGACCTAGAGTACTCAGATTCCATGTTTCTCTCATCATCAGTGGTATGTTTGGGACAGGGGACCCCACCTCACCCAAGGCCCCACTTCTCAGGACTCAGGAGGTAACATGGCTTCCTGCCCCCACAGGACTCAGAAGTGTGCTGGGGGCATGGCGGGACACCTGCATCTGCACTCACTTCATCCTGTCGTACTCCTGGGAGGTGGTGGTCACGCGCTCATCCCCCACGTAGACCTCACAAAAGGGCCTACAGCCATTCCTCTGCTTGCTGAACAGTGGCACAGGGGTCATGACCACGGCCTTCACCAGCATTGGCTTGCTGTGGGGTGTGATGGGCTCCTCTGCTACCATGTCACACACATACTCGATGTACCTGGGGGCAGACACGTGCCCAGTGATGTGTCCCCGAGGGCAAGACACACACTGGATCTTCTTTCCAACATATTTAATGCTATGTATTACCCTTGAGGCAATGTTTTAGTGGTTTCTCACAAATTCGATGCTGTAATTTTCATTCAGTTCAAAATATTTTTTAAATTCCCCTTGAGACTTCCTCTTTGACTCACAAGTTATTCAGAAGGTGTTTAATTCTAAAATATTTAGGAATTTTCCTAGAGGTCTACCTGTTACTAAATTCTAGCTTCACTCCGTGTGGCCTAAGAATACATTTGTGTATGTATGATTCCCATTTAAGTTTGGTGAGGTTTGAGTAATGCTTCAAAATTCTTTCTTACTGCACACTTGAAAGAAATGTGTGCATGCTTCTGTCAGAACACCTCGCTTTGTCAGGGAGGGTGCTGATCACTGATTCTCATCTACTTCCTCTATGGATCACAAAAGGAATGCTGAAGTCTGCACTACCATACATTTTCCATCTCTCTGGTGACCCAGCTTCTCTGACTTTCCTTTGGAGAGTTTCTGGAGGTAACCCTATGCCTGTCTCCCATTGTGGGAGTTCCTTCTGTGGGAGCCCACGGTGAACAGCCACAGGGGGAGGGACATCACTCTCCTGCAGGCTCCCCTGTGAGACAGGAGACCGCTGGCAGCCCTGAGAATTTGAGTCGGCCCAGCTGGCAGTCAGTGCAAAGCCAGGATGTGAGTTTTTCCTGCTAGATGCGAAGGAACACTACACATGCCGAGTGGGCCTGAACACAGAGTCCAGTAACAGAGGGAGGCTTCCCGGGGATCACCGGTCAAGGTTCCCAAAGACCCACGGCCAGTAGCCCCAGTCTGTATGACTCGGGCAAGGCCAGCACCGGCCCTGTGTGGTCTGCCTGCCACCACTGGCCACCTCTGCTGCACTGTCCAAATTTCCTTTTGCAGACATCACATTGCCAGCTCCACCTCACCCAGCCTGACAACCACCCTCACTCAGCCCGGCTGCTGCCCTGTCAGCACCATCCACTTGTGCCCATTCTCCTGTTTCTTTTCTTTCTGATCTTTTACCTTCTCGGGTTATTTTTATGGCTTTGTTTTTTTCTTTGGCTGATGTATTTATAGCAGTTAACACTTTCCCCAGCTGCAGAGGGTTTCAGACAAGCTGCAATCCAAATCTTTGCCTTGTAACGGCCCCTCACCCAACAAGGCTGCATTTAGTGGCAACAGGACAGCTGCAGGATCAACCCCACTCAGTGTCCTGCCCTTCCTGGGTTCTGGGTGCCGGCTGTGAACTCGGGTAACTCCCACGCTTCTCCTCCAGTGTTTCCACCCCTCTCTCTGGGGACTGCACACATTCACATCCTGCCATCTGCAAGGGCCTGGCAGAGCTGGCGTCTTTGGTCCTTCGCTGACCCTACTATCTCCATGTGTGGCTGGTTCTGCAGCTGTCCAGGGCTCCTCTCTCCACTCCCATGTCTGCCTTCCCCTCTCACATCATTGCTGGACCTTGCACCTTGCCCCTTCTGTGCTAGGGTTGTGGACACAAGTAGTCACTCCAGGTTTCCCCAAAGCTCCAAAGCACTGCTCAGTCTGCCTCGCTCCAACAGGGCAAAGGGCCAGGTGGGGCCTGTGCCTCCCTCTGCCCTTCCTGGTCTGCTGTGGACTCTGAACTGCCTTGAAGGGGTGCAGACACTCCCATGCTTCTTCCCCCAGGCTCGACCTCACCCCTGTGTCCTGACTGTGAGTGCCTGGTGCTCTGGGAGCTGGGGTGGCTTGAGGGCTGTTCCAAGGTGTCTGGAAGCTCGACGAGTGTGAAGCAGGTCCAGCTGGCTGCCACATCTCTGCCCCTAAGGGGCAGGAGTCCTCACAGTACTACATCAGCTTCTGCTCCTGTGCTGCCCACTCTCAGGAGTGACAACACCCAGGCCCAGTCCCGTGGAAGGAGGAGTTTCTCTGGTCCCTAGGTCTTCATCAAAACAAAGCTCATCAAGGGAGCGTTTATGCCAGGCAGTGGCTCCTCCAATCTGACAGCCAAAGATCCCTGTTGCCACAGAGCACAGGTGTGGAGGTGGGTGGTGAAACTGGAGAAAGCAGCGGCCCTGCAAGAGGCTAGAGAGGGATCGAACCAGGCACAGTGTTGAGAAGCCACTGCCTTCACACAGCAGGGACAGAGCCCCTCTCAGCAAGGAGGGCAAAGCACCTGCACACATGGCATCTGATAGCAGAGCTGGTCTGGTGAGGAGGGCCACACCAGGCCCCATGCCTGCAGGAAGACCTGCCTCCCAGGACGTGGGCAGGCATGTTGGCTGTGGCCTGTCTGTACCAGTTTGTTGTGTGCCACTGAGCTGGCACGCAGAGTGGCACTGACCCAGCCCCAAGGAAGGGTTGGTGAATGATGCAGCAAGGGCAGTGCCATCTCAGGCCCACAGAGCCAGAGGTGTCACTGTCCCCAGCCAGGATCCCTGGTACCTTTTATGGGATGGCCAAATGCCTGGTGGACAGCGCTTCATGCTGAACATGTACACGGCGGCCTCGGCAGTACTGAAGAGGCGGCAGAAGCACAGAAAGGCGCAGACAACCACAGCAGACGCGGCTCTCCCATCCTAGGACAGAGGGACACAGGACCCTTCCCACCTGGCCATACATGCACAGGACAGGGTGAAGTTCCTGAAGATACCCACAACTGGGGGCTACAGGGAGGATGCATTGCACCTCTGCGGTTTGGGGTATGGTCAGGAACTCACACCCCTGCACATGGTACCATAGGACTCACAGTCAGCAGAGAATGAGGGCTCCTTATCACAGTACAGGGCCAGGCAGCGTCCCTATCTACCCTGTGCTCAGAGCTGGCCCTACCAGGTGCCAGCACCTGAGTGGCTTTCACCAACACCACACACACAGCAACACCTAGGCTGCCTGCAAGAGGCTCACAGAACCCTGCCCTCTGCCGATGGAAAACCAGAGGCAGGGGCTCATCTGCCTGGCTGTGGCAGAACCAAGTCACAGCCCCATGCAACAGAGCGGCCTCCAAGTTGGCTAGTGGGTCATAGCCACAGAGGCTCCGGTCCCACAAGGATAGCAACTCCGTGGCGGTCCACTCCCCTAGGCCAGAACCTGCTCTGACAAAGGCTCCCTCTGCCTGGCCCCTGCTGACAACATCCCCAAACCAGCTGACGGGCCACAGGGCCACCATGCACTCACCACACAGTGCACAACGCAGACATTCCTGTGGTCTTGCCGCAGCCAGGAGTGCATGTTCCTGCAGATAGTGTACAGGCTGTGCAGGTTTGGAGCCCGCCTGGCGGCCCAGCCGCACTCAGAAACCTGTGGAGAGGTCCTGTTGGCTCGGCTCCCAGCCATGTCACAAGCTCAGCCAGCATCACATAGCCAGTGCCCCTCGGCTGCCTGCCTGGCACACAGAACTCCCTGGGGACTCCAGGACATGGTGGCCTTGCCCTGGGCACCCCCCTCACCCGCAGGGCACGTGCAGGTGTCTGTCTCAGCTGTTGGACTCTGTCACATGCAACACAACTCACTGATGGTACAAAAAGAGCCACCTCTTCTGTGCCTTAGTTCAAAAAAACAGGGGAATGTTCTGAGCCAGATGCTTGCTCCTCTGGGGGCTGGAAGGCAGGATGGAAGGAGGCACCCACCTCTGCGGAGCAGCACCCTTCCCTGGCACGACACGGCCCACTTGCCCTCAAGGCCGCCCTGGCTTGCCCAGGGCTGTTCCACCAGTCCTGAGTCCCTGCACCTCATCTGCTTGCCACAGGCTGCTGGGGCAAGGTCAGGGTCAGTCCAGTGGGCAGTTAGGGGCAGACCGATTGCACTCATGGCAGCGAAAAACAGCCACATCACACCAAGGGAAAACCCAGGGCCACGCACCCGGTTGTGGAACTTTGAGGCCCGATAGGTCCTGGGGGACAGGTTGTAGACAGCATAGTGGCCCGGGTGCTTGGCATCCAGAAACAACCGCACATCTTCGATGTTATTTTTGATCGCTGACTCCACGCCCTCGGCGGGGAATGACATCACTGAAACAGAGCCGTCTGTAAGCCACTCAGGACCCCAGGGGCTCACTCTCCACCCGCCACACACACCTGCCTCCTTGTCTGGCAGGATGCCTAGCCTGGCTCTTAGAATACCCACATGGGGGAATCCTCCCACTCAACTGCACAGATTCAGTGGAGAGCCTGAAGGTCTTCAAACATCATGACGAGCATTCCCAACTACGCTTTGCCTGGAGACCTAGTGTAGACGCGCACGGGCTCACCCTCTAACCTCGGAGCTCCAGATGGTGCCAAAACTGGGTTGCCCACCACTTAGGCCAGGAGGCAAGCTGGACACAGGCCACCCAACTACCACCCCTCTGGGATGGTGCCCAGGCCCAGCGGAATTCCCAGCTACCTAGAAGGCTGGAGAAGAGGCACCAGGCCACCTCTGGTGGTTACCAGTCCAGGACCACAAACTGTCTTCATGGAAAAGATACGGGTGTACCATGCAGCCAGCCCAGCAAACCTACCAGCAATCCTGGAGGTAATGTAAGATATGTCCAGATCGCCCTTTGCATAGCTGGAATCAGAGAAGAGCATATGATTACATAGAAAATACTCAGTAGCATGTCACTTCCAGCTGAGCCTAGTCCTGGAACACAGAGGCCACCCGTTGCAGGCTACACCCCAAGACAATCATGTGCACAGGGTGCTAGATGATGCATGCCACGTGATGCAGGGTTTCAATGGTCTTCCTATGCTTCCACATGTCCTAGAAAGCAACAGTGGGAGCTGTTTTTGAGAGAGGGTAACAAAGGTCAGCGTGGACAGTGGGCATAGGTCCTGCTGGCTCAGGGCCCTGGTGGGGAACTGTGGTAGGCGGTCCAAGGGCATGGGCCCTGTGCAAGTCAGAGGAGGCAGAAAGGAAGCCCCAACCCACAGGGGCATACACATCCCTACTGGTGGCTGCTGCCAACTTAAGAGAAGCCGGTTATCCCTTAAGCCAGTCAACAAAATCAGTAAAGTGCAGACTAATCCTAACTGACTAGGAGAAACCTGCAGGCTCATTCTAAACTCTGTCCTGAAAAACAGCTGTGGAGAACAGCCAGAAGCCCCTTGGGGGAAGAGTGGAAAGGCAGCCAGTTGGCAGATGGAGCACAGGGAGCTGCACTGCACCACTGGGCAGGCCCAGGGCAGGCTGGCCATACTCTACACTCACCACTGAAGACAGGCCACAAAAACAAGGGTCAGGGGTTAAGGAGCAAATGCTAAAGAAATACAAACCAGTTAACTGAGGCCAACTTCACTGAACAAGGCAACAAGAAAGACAGAAGAACAGGCAGGCCCAGTGCTCCAAAACTTTAGCAGAGGAGCCATTGACCAGGACAAGGGGATACAGAAAGAGTATCAGCAAGAGACAAAACAAGAACATGCAGCTGAGTGCAAATCACCAGACCCAGCCACTCCTGGAGAACTGCGCATGAAAAGGGACCAAGCATCACAGGGTCCACACCCATCTCAAACTCCAACCCAGCTCCAGGGGCATGGAAGGGTACACCCATTAGGTCTACAACCCACACTGCCAGGGAGGCACAAGGACATGGGGCAGTGCTGGATATAGCTGGCGTGCTCACCACCACCTGCCTATACCTAGCCTCCTCTGTGGGAACAGAAACAGCTGGAGGAATGCACTGCCACCTCTGAGTCAACCCAACACACCGAGTGTGTGTGGAGTTCTGTTCTTAGGCAGAAGCCACATGTGCTCACAACATCCACACATGCACACACCCACACAATGCAGTACAGGCCCTCATGTGTATGACACATGCTTGCATACTCACATGCTCACACATGCAGATACTCCTACACACATGCACTCGTGTATATGACACATATATGCTCTCACGTGCACATTCACACAGTGTAGCACACATCACAAGTGCATGGTGCTTGTTCACATGTGCATACATGCAGCTATCAGAGCCGTGACCACAGGGCTGAGGCTGTAGCACCTGAGTGCATGGCTCCACTCTGATGTTTCCTGAAACAGCCAAGGCCCTGAGGCAGCAAGTGGCAGCACGGGTGACCAGGGCTGATGAGAGGTCCCCAGGTACCCCTAGTTGAACTGTGCCCCAGGAACTGGCACAGGGCTTTCATCCACGTAGCCTATGTTCCAAGCCTCCAAGTGCAAGGTGGCCTGGCTCTGTCACATGCTTCCATATCAGAATGTGGCCTCAAGTACCACTTAGACCTGGCCAGGCCTCCATGGTGACCATGTTAACTGAGAAGAGCTGTGCAGAAACCACCACACCCCACAACCACCTTGCTGGTTTACACCAAAGAAAGAAACAGCTCTAGTGTGAAGGTGTCTGCAGAGAGAACTAGACGCTGAGCTGGGTGCTATGAGCCCAGTGCCAACACACAGCTCTGCAGCTGCTGGGCTCGCCCCACATCTGCACTTGGTAGGAGGGTGGGCTGGCATGTGCTGTCCTGCACCTACTTGGCCACAGACTGGATGACCTTGGAGGACGTGTCCTTAAGGTTGGTGAAGAGCCGCTCCGTCCCGCCCCGCAGGATATCAAGGAAACCACCATAGGGCTGATCGTACTCTGCCAACGCCAGGGCTGCAGGAGAGACAGGTCTCAGCAGGTCACAGGGAAGGAGGCACACTGCCCTGGCCATGAGCTCAGAGTGGAGGCCAAGGGAGTGGCTCCCAAACCACAGGGTCCTAGTGAGGCCTTCAGAGGCTCTGAGGGCAGAGCTGCTGCCGAGGCCACTAAGGCCCAGTGCAGCTGTGAGATGTCCCAAGCTACTAGTGGGCTAGAGGGCTGACACTGAGAGTCCACAGCAATGCTGGCCACATAGGGCACAGGCAGGCCCCATAGGACGTGGGCCTAAGGCCCTCCTCAGGGAGTGGAGAGCTGCGGAGGGACTCCGGGAGCCTGCCACAGCCCTTGAAAGGAGATGCGGGGCTGGGGATATAGCTCAGCAGCACAGCACCTGCCTGGCAAGTACAAGGTCATGAGTTCAATTCCTGATACCTCCCCCCAACAAAAAAAAAAAAAAAAAAAGAAAGGAGATGGAGGGGCCTTGCCCATGGTCAATGCAAGGCTGTGATGCCGCCCATGGCCACTACCTGTACATACTCCGCAGCCTGCTCCCACAGGGGCCCAGATATCCCACCCAGATCAGCTTTCCTGCGGCCCAGATCAGGCTTTGGCGGGGTTCACTGTGGGGTCTTGGACCCAGTACAAAAGCTGCAGACAGGTCAGCTGCACCCACCAGGCCAATCCCATCAACAACCTGGACACCAGGAGGGCCAGGGCCTTGCCTGGTGAGGCGCCCACAACTGCCCTGGAATGGACCCTGGGGGCTGGCCCTGACCATTTGTCCCTGCCCTGCCACCACCCTCAGCTGACTTTGGTCTAAACGCTCCTGTTGGATCTGACACCACACTGAGCACCTCAGCTCAGCTCAGCTGGAGTCCCAGTACTGGTGGGGCCTCAAAGACCCCAGCCCTCCAGTCTGGGTCCCACGAGACAGTGTGCCCACAGGATGAGGACCTGGTTTCCAGCATGTGGACAGGATGTGGATGAACACCCTACAGGGGGCAGGCAGGTCTCACCTCCACTGTGGCTGCTGCTCGAAGGACCCCCAGGAGTGGGTGGTGCCCGGGATGGCCCTGGGTTGCCACAGCCTCCGTTCTGCTCCAGCAGCTGGAAGGGTCAGAGGCACAGTTAGCTCCCACAGGCCAGATGCACTCAGCTGCTCGAGCCTGCTTCAGCGGAACCCTGCTGGCGGCAGATCCTCCCTGTCCCTGAGCTGAAGTATCCTTCTCCTGCTCTTCTACCTCTCCCCAGCCCATGGACCCCTGGAGCAGGAGCAGTCCACACATGGCCCAAGGACACCAGTAGCTGGTCAGAGGTGGGCCTGCCCCCTGCCTCCTCCAGCTGTGAGGTGTTCTCTGGAGAGTCAGCTGGCACAGAGAAAGGCTCAAGAGGCTGTGTAAGTGCTATGATCAGATGCACTCATGTCCCCCATGGCAAGTGGTACCTCCTTTCTGGATAGTGGGAAGAACAAGGCCCCAGCTCCTACACCCATCCCAGGACATCTGCAGGTTACACAAGGGTCCGAGAGTTAAAGGCACAGAGGCCCAGTCACCCTGCACACAGCAAAGCTCCCCCCTCATCTCTTAGTCCCTTCTGAAACCAACCCATTGCCCTCATGCCTCCCTCTACAGTACTGATGATGTCATCCATACTATCCACTCACCAACTCCAGAGTACCTGGCACCCAGCTTCAGGGTATCCCTGCCTGGTGCCCCCAGAGGGGACTCACTAGCTTATGTCCCCATTTCCTGTCACTCCTTGACCCCCAGCCTGTGCACTCAATACCACCTCCATAGCAACCACAACCCTGACCCCTCAGCCTCCTCCCTTGGGGACTCTATGGGGGTTCAGTTCAGGCATTCTGACCTTTCCACATTGCACTCGCCCTCTGCAGCCCCACATTCATAGCCCTGGAAAATTTGGCTTCTACCTTCAAGGCTAAAAGGACCCAAAATCACAGAACAAGGACCAGTGCTCCAGGGGAGGGCAGCAAATTCCACAGGTGGGACCCAAAGTAGCCCAGGGACCCACCCACTCCCTGCAACCTCACCGCTATTTTATAAAGGGCTTCTGGCTGACACTCCCTGGCCTGCCCACTCTCCCCAGCCTGTTCTGACCTGTGGGTTGAGCCTAGAAATGACCACAGCTGAGACGCTGAGCCATGGCTGGCTGCCTATGCCCAGGAACCGTGAAAAGTGAAGAATCTCGCTCACTACAGCACCCAGAGTGAGGACTGCCAGACAGTGTGGCAGAGCAACCCTGAGGGTGGGCCCAGCCAGGACTTGAGCTTCCCCAGGCTGCAGCAGACCCCACCATACAACAGTAGGAGCTGGTGGGAGATCTCAGGGTGGTGCTGAGAATGCATACCCGACACCTCAATGCAGGCACGGCAGCAGATGATGGGGCTCACCTCCGTGATGGGTGCCTTGGGGTTCACATTCCTGGCTGCTGCGATCTCCTGCAGCTGGCGCACGGCCTCTGCAATGGACAGCCGCTCCTCAGGGTTGACTTTCAGCATGGCACCTACAACAGAACACAGTGCTCAGTCCATGCCAGACAGAGCCCTAGACCCAGGCTGGACAGCACCGCCAGGCCACCTGCCATACACACACTGCTGACATCAGAGGCAAGGGAGGAAAGAGTAAAAGAGCAAGGGTAAAGCTGAACAGTCAGCGGGAATGGCCATTCAAGACAGACATGGTGGTGTATGCCTAAAATTCCAGCATGGAGAGGCTGAGGCAGGAAAACCTCAAGTTCAAGAACAGTCTGAGTAACTAAGCAAGATCCTGTCTCAAAATAGAAAGATACTTGAGAAATAGTTGAGGGGCTTCAGCTCAGCGTTCCTATTCCTTCAACTCCCAGTGCTGAAAACAAAACAAGAAAATGGGCCATTCAGAATATCCTAAATTCACAGAAGGCAGAGCCACCGGGACACTACTGGACAGTCAGAGCAGTGGGAAGTGTGGGCTGTGACACTCAGACCTCAGCCAGGCCACCCAGCAGCACACTTGAGGACTCACGGATGAGGTCGTGGAAGACGCTGTACTGTGTGTCATTTGCAGGGATCGAGTACTTCCCGTTGACGATTCGCAGCTTTGCTCCATCCTCAAAAGGGTGCTGCCGAAAACACAGCAAGTACAATATGCAGCCCAGGGCCTGTGGGGAGAGCAGGAGCTTAGCCTCAGACTCTGGGGCACAGGTTGGGAGCCAGGCATAGGACTGCCCTGTCTTCAGGGACCCTGGAGAGCACCTGCCACACTTTCATTGCATCAGTTTTACAAGTTAATCCTGGTTCAGCTCACAAATGTCAAGCTGGTGAGCAGGTTGGCAAGGTGATCCACCACACCAGAAGCCTCAGTCCTTCCATCCTCATCCAGAAAAATTATCTCTCTAGGCTACAGTGGCAAAGCTCCAAACCCTTATTTTCAGATCAAAAGGTTGCCTTCAGCCCTGTGTGGTGGTGCACATCTGCAATCCTAGCATCCTGGGAGGCTGAAGCAGGAGGATCACAAGTTTGAGCCCAGCCTGGGAAATTTTCTTAGTGAGATTCTGTCTCAAAATAAAAAATTTTAAAAAGGGTTGGGGTTACAGCTTAGTGCAGTCCCTGGGTTCAATCTCCAGTGCCCTCCACCTCCAATTCCCTTCAAATTTATTTTATTTACTTATTTACTTACTTACTTTATTTATTTATTTTGATTTTTTGAGATAGGGTCTTGCTATGTAGTACAGCTGGTCCTGAACTCACTATGTAGCCCAGGCTGGCTTTGAACTTTTGGTGATCCTCCTGTGTCAGCCTTCTGAGTGCTGGAATTACAGGCATGTGCTACAATGCCCAGCCTTCCTTCAAATTTAAACAGATCACACTAAAGCACTGAGATCTGTGGGCTACAGGGCACCCACAAGGACCTTGCCACACAACAGGCAGGGTAGCTGCCAGGGATGCACGGTCCCAGTAACTCCTAATGACAGCCCTGGGAAGCTCCAAGGATGCACTTCACTGGGGTCTCCAGACCTGCCCTCTCCCCGCCCAGAATGCCCATCTGTGTAAATGGAGAGGGTGGGTGATTCCTGAGATACCACCCTCACCCAGCTCCAGGAGCAGCGCAATGGGGACTAGATGAATTGTGTCAGCTAAGTTCTCATGCCCAGACATGTGCTGAGGGTCACTTATCATGGGCCACTTGCTGGGGGGCAAAGAGGTGACAAACTAATGACAACCCTGTGTAGGTCCTCCCCACCCTCGCAGAGCAGACTCAACTCAGACCCCACACAGACATGGGTCAGGGAGCTGAGTTTGGCCCTGGGCTCAATTCCCAGAATTGCAGAAGTAAACCAGAACCAAAGGGTGGGGTGCAGGGAGTTCTTGTGCAGTGACACAGGTGGATCTGTAGATTGGGGATCTGTACCCCCACCTCTTCCTGGGCCTTTCCTCACTGCACCTTCAGGGATACCCTTTATGACAAACCAGTAGGTTAATTCAACATGTCCTCAGGGTCTGTGAGCCACTCTAGCACAGTAAGCAAAGCCAGAAAGCGGTTCGTAGGGAGCTCAGTTCATAGTCTCAAAGTCAAAGCCCAACATGACAACTGGGGACTCTTGGCTGGCAGGGGAGGGGGCTGAGTTGCATCGTAAGGGTGTGATGTTACCCTGAGGGGACAGGGTCACACCATCTTAGCCCGAGCATACCCTACAGGCATCACTGTGGAGCTGGCTGCCTACTGCCAGTGGGAATGGAGAACTGCCTTGCCAATGGGACATGGCCCTGAGGGGCAAGGCTCTGGGCATCAGCTGGCAGACTGAGACCCTGTGGCGCAGACTTGGCCTGTGCAGGCCCCTTTGGTGTGTGCTATCTCCATAAGAGCCGCAGCAACACCACTAGCACTCAAGTGAGTCTTCACAAGACGAAGCACTAGAACAACCAACGAAGGGAGGCTGCGGAGGCAGATGGTGCCCACCAGGACACTGGCCCAGGCACCAGCACAGCGGTACTTAGCTCACCCAGATATCCTGCTTCTCGCCGATGGGGAAGTTGGAATACAGGTCTACGATCTCCGGTGTCCTGTACATGGGTGTGGTGTTCCTTGTGATCTGAAGGAAAACAATGTGACTATCATGGAAAAGCTACAGGCAAGCAGTATTTTTAGTTCTGCAATGATCTTGTGACTTTTTTTTTTTTCTGGTACTGGGGATCGACCTCATGACCTCATGCTTGCCAGGCAGGCACTGTGCCACTGAGCTAAATCCCAGCCCCGATCTTGTGACTTTCTAAGCTCTGCTACAGGCTGGGAAGCTCCCAGAAGGGCTTTGGCCCCTCCGCTGAAGGTAGGTACAGCCTGGCCTTGAGCAGGGCCTCCCCGGCAGAGATGAGCCCTGTAGGTGTGTTCCTAAACTATGCTTGAAAGATATCTGTGTGGAGCAGCAGCTCTGAAGGTAAGTGGTGGTGATGCTGGGTGTACTTGATGGTCCTGGACTGTGCACTGAATGACGGTGGCAGTAAATTTCATGTTACGTGTGTTTTATAACGATTAAAAAAAAAATCCCAGAGAACAAGGGATAAGAGATTCAGAGCCACCTGACACAAGAACAAGCTGAAATGCTCCACTAGGCTGTTGATGCCCGCAAAAGCTCAATGAGGGCCCTGGAGCCTGGTGCCAGCAGTCTCCCAATCCTGGACCTTAGGGACACAGAGCTTGCACCCACAGGGTGACAGGAGTCAAAAGAAGCACAGGCTGAGAGGAAAGGGACAAGAGTGGCCTCCTCAGGCCATAGGGCACCACCTTGCCTCACCTCCTCCTCCACCATGGCTCGCTTCTGGGCACTCCAGCTGTAGTCGGGGTAGTGGGAGATGGTGGTGGCACTGCCGAAGTCACACAGCTTAATGGTCCCCTGGCTGCTGAGCAACAAGTTCTCAACCTGCAAGATGCCAGAAGGCAGTCGTATGGACATTTAGACCTTAGCAAAATTACCAGGTATGTCAGACAAGACCAGCAGACAGCCCCACGTCAGGGGCGAGGATACTGGCCACAGCCCCCAACATCCACTGCAGAGAGGCAGCCAGCTCCACACCAGCAGCAGTGGTGTAGGACACACACATGTGCGCGCGCGCGCGCGCACACACACACACACACACACACACCCCTATGCAGAGGTGGGGAAGGAGGGTCACACAGGAGCCAGCAAAGGCCTTTCTCCAAGCAAACTAACTATGCCTCACCTTAAACTCTTTTTTTTCTTTTGAGACAGGGTCTCACTATGTAGTGCAGGTTGGCCTCAAACTCAGGGCAATCCTTCTGCCTCAGCCTCCTGAGTGCTGGGACTACAGATGTGCACAACGCCCAGGTCGTCTTGTCTTAAATTGTTTCTGATCAGAAGCAACATACCCACAACTCAGAAAAATAAAAAAGTTAAAATCACTATAAATCAAACAAAGCCGGGCATGGTGGCGCACACCTATAATCTCAGCACTCAGGAGGCTGAAGCAGAAGGATCATTGCGAGTTCGAGGCCAGCCTGGGCTACAAAGTGAGTTCAAAGCCAGCCTGAACTGCATAGCAAGATCCTGTCTCAAAAAAAAAAAAAAAAGTGGGGGACTATAAATCAAACAGATAATCTCACTGAGATACAATGAGCCTTCAGAAAAGCCAAAAGATGAAAGAACATAATGTGTCACTTGTAACTAAAGTAAACATAACTCCTGAACAAACTTAATAAAAGACAGAAAAAATACCTACTGTGCAGAAAACCATAAACTTAGATGAAATTTAAATACAAGGCACAAAGGGAAACACCAAGTTTCAACAGTTTCACAATGTCATGAAAAGGCACAATGTCATTAGGATGTCACATCGTCCCAGTAGCCCCAGCAGAGGGGCCCTGCACAAGCCAACTTTGGCCACAATCCACAATCTAGGAATCGATTACATATTTTAAATACCTGGTGGGAGGGGCTCAAAGGAAGATCAGCACTTCAGTTATATGAAATTACATGGGTCCAGTCTGTAGATAAGAGTTCAGCCACACCTACTCCTTGGGCGATGGTCCTGGAGGCTGTGCTCCCCAGAGTGGGGTGCTATGGCCCAAACTCTGCAGTCAGCAGTGCCACGTCCCTAATGGTCCCTCACAGACCTCTGTCAACCCTGCTACAGAGCCACAGCAACTCCAATCTGCTGGGAGCCACTGAAGCTGGAAAATAATTTCACGTGCAGGATGAAGCCAGCCCGAGAACACGGGAGCTCCTCAAAGACGCATAAACACACTGTTGTAACTTGTTAACTGACTGCTGGGCAGGGAGGCAGAAATTAACCAACTTCTCGGGGTATAAATAAACGCCCCTACTGTTGAAGTCAGTCCTCTTGCTCATCAGGGAAGAGGTAACTCTACCTGACCCTAGCAACTGTCTCTTTCTTTATTTTCTAAATCCTCTCGCTGTTTTCTCCTGGGAACTACCGAGACCACCAAGTCCCACAACAATCAGTTCCCAGAAGTTTGGTGGAACTTCACAAACTGATTCAAAGACTTAATGGAGACACAGAGTCAATAGGAGCAGCCAGGCCTCTGTGCAAGGCTTTGGTCACAGCACAGGCACTGGCCCGAGGATACAAACCAGTGAGCACCAGACTCACGAGACGCCCTCTGGGGACATGGAGAGGAGGTACCACATCCCTGGGGTTGGAGGAGCTGGCCCAGATGGAGGACCCAAGTCCACAGAGGCAGCAGGAAGGAACAATGTCCTCACCTCTGAAGACTCCTACACTATTCAAGTGACACGCAGTCACCAAGACACCCTGAAGGGCAGCCACAGAGAGGAACCCCTGCCCCAAGCACCTGCAAACCACAAGGAAAGGACAACAGAAAAAGAAGCACCAGAAGGACACACAAGTCCCATGATGGGAAGACGCAGCCTCAAGGACAAGGCTCCTACCACAGGACCCCGAGGCTGCCAAGATCCTGCCAGACCCAGGACTAGCCAGACAGGCACATGAGCTCTGCTCCACAGGCACAGGGCAGGGTGAGGCAGAGAGTAGGCCTGAGAGGACCCGAAGCCTCTGCACTGGAGGACAAGCAGCACCCACCAGGGCAGGCTTGCACTCGGGCTCTTCACTCATCCTGCCCTGCTGTTCTTCACTCTCCGTAAGAAAACACAGGCAAGCACACACATACCACATCGCCCCACATCACAGATGTGAAAAGACTCTAATGCCCTGAGAAAACCCTCAGCATCCACAAGGAACCCTGGGGCCAAAGGCAGAACCAAGACAGGTGCACTGCAGGGCCCAAGAAGAGCCCTCACTTCCTGGGCAGTGGGCCTGGCACTGTGCTTCTGGAAAGGAGCTCCCATGTTCTCGGGCTGGCTTCATCCTGCACATGTAATTATTTTCCAGCTTCAGTGGCTCCCAACAGATTGGAATTGCTGTGATTCTGTAGCAGAGCTGACAGAGGTCTGTGAGGGCCCTTGAAAGACACTCCTGCTGCAAGCAGGAGTGCTCGACTCAAACCAAAATGAAAGGAGAAAGAAATTACAGAACAAATGAGAAAGACAGGAAGAAAAGAGGCAGGAGAATACGGAGGAAAAGGAGAGGAGCCCAGAACAGGCAGACACTGGTCTGCAGCACAGGGAGGCACCTGGCCATCAGTCACCTCAGATCCTGTTTTCCAAATGTTTCTGAGTTTGGGGGTCCAATCATGGGGGTCAGGCTCACGGTGGTATCAGAGTTCTAAGTGAGGACTCACAGGCAGAACGCTCAGTCAAAATCACAGAGGACAGAACTTACCCCAACCAGAGACACATCACAGAGAACTGCTTCCAGACCCTGGGCTGGGGAGACCAAGGGCAGAATGAGATGAGGGGAGGGTGTGCTGAAGCCATCACCATGTGGCACTTGCGATGAAGCCCCGCGCCCTGGAATCTCACAGCCACACGAAAGCCAGAGACCCAGGGGAGCAGGCAAGTGACCAGCCCTGGGCAGAACCCACCCTGGCTGAGGCAGTTGTGGCTCTGGAAGCCAGGCCAGGAGAGCACCCAGGGGGAGATAGGGGGAGACAGATGCTGCCATTGCCCTGTGTCACGTCCAGTCAGTTCCAGGTGAGTAACACCTGAGGCAGTCAAGGTAGACTAAGTACTGAGAGGCACTTAGGGGCCTGGCAGACCCAAAGGCAAGGGGGTGCTTCTTTGAAGGCCTGGCAGGGGTGCACTGCCCAACCATACATTCATGAGCTGAGCCCCGGGATTACATCTGCTTTGCTGGCCAGAGTGCTATAGTGATGTGAGAAACATCCCAGCTCCCAGAAATGCACACACAGGTGTCTTTGAGTGAAAGACCTTAAAAAATTTTCAGTACAAAGAATCTGCCTTGGTAAGGCATCAGGTCAAAGACAAGCTTAGTGAACACTGGATGATTCTCTCAAGTCTGGGGTTGATTAACAAGATACAACAGCAAAGTAGAGACTAGGACATAACTAGAAAACTCCCGCAGCACACATAGAAAGCTCACCACAGGACACAGATGGAGTTCCACAGAATCAAATTTCTAGGCCCATAAAGAAATGGAAAAAAAGGTAAAACTAAAGAATAAAGCACTGATGACTAAAAACACAGAACTGCTCACTGTCATTAATAATTAGGAGAAACTCACAACATGCAGGGCCACCACCCCCGCCCCCACCCCACCCCACTGCCAGGTCAACTGCAGACAGAGCCCCTGCAGGACAAGGACGGGGTGGCAGGGCCACAGCAACCCCAAAGAGGACGCAGGGCAGCACCCCCCCCACGCCCCAAGATGCCACACCACGGCAGCAGAAGGAAACCTAGTCGGGAACCCGCCTCACACCACAGGAAGAGCAGGAGCACTGCCTGAGCCCAGCAGACAGAGGCGCTCACAAGGCCTCAGCCGGGGGCCAGGGCATGGAGTGACGTGAGGGCACCTGTGCCCACAGTTGGCACCTTGAGGTCTCTGTGGATGATGGGCGGCTTCTGCCTGTGCATGTGCTGCACAGCTCTGCACGTCTGGTAGAAGATCTTCAGGACGGTGTCACAGGGCAGAGGGCCTTTAGCTTCAATTTTCTTTAGAAATTCTACCAGCTGCCCTAAAAGAGACAATTGAGTTCAGTCACTCTGGGCCTAAAAAATGCCATGCCCTCCTGGCCAGGGGTGGGTTCTGGTTCTGCTGGAGCAGGGCCTCACACTCACTGGCTTATCTGAAGCCACAGTCGGCACCTGACCAGCCGGCCTGCACAGCTGGTGCTGCCTCTCCCTTCCTTCACTGTGCAGGAGGCCAGTGGGCACCAGGTGGCACTGCAGACCCAGGTGTGGGACACCATGGGGGCAGCCAGCATGGTGCAGCCTGGGAGCAGCACAAAAAGCAAGGCCCTCTAGTAGAGGGTCAAGCGAGAAAAACAGTCCCCTGTAGTCGGGCAGAGAAAGATTAAGGACTTGCATCTTCACAGGGCCACAGTGATTATAGACCACCTGCCATGATGCTAACAAACACAATTCTCGATGTGTCCGTGCAGAGGTCACTGCCCCTCCTTAGGTACAGACGGTATCCATCTGCTAACACAGTGTCTCCAACACCGTGCACACAACACCAAACCTACACTGGGCCTGGCACCACCTAGCTGCTCTCCAGGGATCCCAGACTAGATCACTAGGTCCACCAAGCCTAGGGCTAAGAACCTGGGCATGGGGGCTGGGATGCTGCTGGTACTCTGTGCATGCCTACATGTTCTCAGCCACCCCACTCCACAAAGGTCTCACAGTTCCAGCTGTAGCCCCAAGCATGGTGTTGCCTGGGGCCTCTTTGATTTACAGCCCACCGAGCCTTGGCTTTGTGCCTCTGCACCTGCTTTCCACAGAGCAGCCCCCAGGGGCCTCCTCAGTACCAGGAACAAGGCCACATCACAGCCATAGCCAATAGGCCCCAGCAGCAGATCAGGGTCACCACTCTGGTGATGGTGTCTCCTCCCTGCTCCCAAGTGTGCTGGCCTCACACCTCACACCCACCTCCCGGGGCTTCACTGTCCATCTCATCTGACTGTGCACCCCTTTCTCTGCTGCAGCTCAGGCTTCCAAGCCTGTTGGCTTCACCTGTATACACAGGGGCCCTGAGCCTGCACACAGCAGGGCCAGGAGCAGCTTCAAGGTGTACTAGAGTAAGATGCTAGTGCTCTGAGGGCAGCCTTGGTAACCTCTAGGCCTCTGCAACTTCTAGAAGAAAGGGAACATAGGCTCATGTGTCTCTGGTCTCCTGAAACTTAGAGCAAGGCCTTCTACTAATACAACTTTCAACCGGGAGCTCCAGGTGCATGCCCACAGCAGGGATTCCAGACCAGATCTGGATGCCCTCCCAGCTTCCAGCTGGAACGGCCTTAGGCCCTGCCAGGCAGGCTATCAACCTTGGGTGGACTGAACCTTCCCCCACCTCATCCAACCTGCTCCACAGTCTCTGCAGCAACCCTGACACTGAGGCTTTGGGACGAATGGGCTCAGGAAGAGGTGTCTGGGCCCAAGGCCAGGCCTGGGGGCCAGAGCAGGGGCAAGTGACCCTGGCTGTTGTCAGTGGCTCATTCTTGGGGAGAATTAAGGAGTTATTTTTAAAAATAAAAATTCTAGGGCTGAGGACATATAGCTCAATGGTAGAGCACTTATCCAGCATGAATGAGGCCCTGAGTTCCATTCCCATGCTGCAAAACAGAGAAAGAAAAACTCCACCTATGACAGTGGGAATGGCCCAAGAACTCCTTTCTCCTCAGGCCCTTGTGCAGTGGACGACACACAGAAGCCACCCAGCTCTGCTTCAGGAGTCTGGTCTCAAAGCCTCCTCAGCCTGACCTGCTGCTGCACAACACTCCCTGAGTCCTCCACCTCTCCACTGTTCCACACCCCACTCTGGCCCCACAGACCAGACCCCCAGAGGCATCCTGGGATGTACTCTCCATAGCCCTGCAGGCCTGCACCTGGTGAGGACTTTGAGTTACCAAGAAAGGAAGTGTGGCCTCCCTCAGAGTGTGGAACTGGGCAGTGGAGCTGGATCTTCTGTTCCCCACAGCGCCAGCCAGGGACAGCAACTGAGTCTACACTTGCCTGCCACCTCCTTCACTGCTCTGACTTGGGGAACACCACCACAGTGCACCCTTGTTCTTGACAGCTCCGTCTCTAACCCTCCAGGACCAAGATCTCCAGAACTTACTCAAGCGAAGGTTTCTGACTTTCCCTAATGATGGGGGAGGGGTCCATTTTGAACAGCACCAGGGAAAATGACAGATGGTAGAATCCCCATGTGACCAAAGTGTGCAGGGTGGGCAGCATCATGCCGATTGTCAGCTGTTCCACCACACAGTACAAGACTTAGCCAGGCCCCACAGCTCTAGCAATGCACCCATGAGTTACCAACACCCCAGCTTTGGGAACCCCAGCCTCTGAGTGTGGTTAAGATGAGCAAGACGCTGTCCCTCACCTGCAGCCCACCCTCCGAGGTTTCTGTTACCCATGGTCAACTGTGGCCCAAAGACACAGACTGGAACACTCCAGACAGAAAATTCACAGGGTTTATGTGGGGGCATCCCGAGTAGAGTGATGGAACCTCACACTGCCCTGCTTGGTCCCTGGGGGCTGGTCACACACGGCCCAGCCCATCTTCGCTGGGTGAGGAGCCATCCTGGTTATCACAGCAGCTGTCACAGTCATGCTGCACCTGTCAGAGGTTCTGATCTGTCCCTAGGTTGAGGCACCACTGCCAGTCTGGGAAGAAGTCCTCAAGGATAAGGGGCACACTCTACTGGCATGAAAAGATGCATGATTTTAAAAAGGATGTTTAAAAGTAAGTACATGTAGTAAACCCCTAGGCAGGTGTAATGGTACAAACTTGTAATTCTAGTGACCTGGGAGCCTGAAGCAGAAAGACTGCAAATTAGTGGAGAGCCTGGGCTACGTAGCTATCAAAGGGCAGCCTGGTTACACAGTGAGACCCAATCTCAAACAAAACCAAAACCGAACCTCCCACAATAAACACTAAGTTTATAAGCATCTACTCAACTCTACATCGTCTGTTTTTTCATTCAGCACATGTTCTTCTGTAACTGAAAATCACAGTAACAACTGATACCCAGGGAAGAGAAGGCCCCAGGTGAAAGCTGAGCAGAGATGTCCACACAGCCAGGGCTGGCATCCCCCCCACCTAAGGACAGCCCAGGCCTCAGAGCTAGTTCCTAGACACCATGCACCCCCAAGAGAACAGCTGGGAGAAATACCATTCTGAACAGAAAAGACACAGGCAGCCTCACAACTGACCACAGTGCAGGAACTATGCAGTGCTTCACGGGGCTAGGGCAGCATGACCAAGACACTGGGGACAGTGGAAATGGCAGAACAAGCTGCCATGCTGTCACGTCATAAAGATTTCTTTAGGGACAAATCTGGGACCGCAGTCAGGCCACACATGAGAAAAAGGATCTCACGACTTATTGTCTGCAACTTCTCTTTAAATGGTTCAGCAAGAGCATGGAAGGGGATAACACGACCAGAAGTCATGATAAAAACAAGAATCCAGTGTGTCCACTGCACCTCTTCCAAGTTCTCTGTAGGTTTGAAACTTCAGAATAAAAATTGGAGGGAAAAAAATCCATGCAAAGGTCACTGTGTGGAGTTAAGGCACTGTTGTCACAGCCACAGCAGTGAACTCTTGACCACGCATAGCAGGTGTCACAGGGACCATGGCCATTTGGTCATTAGTGTTCAAGGGGTCCAGGAAGCACAGAGAGGACACAGCTGGGCAGAGCCCTCCCTGCCAGGGCCACCAGCTCAAGAGTATTGCCCCAGTTTGCTCCCCTGCCTTCGGCCTGTGCCAGTGAAGGCTCCAGTCCTGCACAGACCGCCGCCCGCCCGCCTGCCCACCCTCCACTCCACTCCACTCCGCTCCACTCCACTCACAGCCCTGACTGTACCTCCACGCCTCCCCCTTAGCTGTTGGCCCCACGATTTCCACCCTTTGCCCAGCTGTCTGCTTATGCCCCAGCCTCCTCACTGTTCTGAGTCCCTGTCACTCTCTGCCCATGCTGGCTATGGCGACAGCTTGTCTTGTGCCCTGTCTTGTGCTGTTATGGGCAGCAGCTCTCACATAGCCAAGTTGCTTTTCATGGGCTCCCTGCCTCAGTCTCTCTCACTGCTCCTCCTGGGTCTCTTCTCCCTATACTCACTGCCCAGGTGACAGACATTCAAATAGCCACTGTGCCACAGTCCTAGAGAAGAGTTCCTCACAGGACCACAGGTCCTGAGATGGAGCTCGGACCCAGCAGATACTCAGCCCCCAGCAGATACTCTGCAGCTGAGCCGTATGTGGGGAAGCCACCATCCCCAGAGTCCTGTCTTCACTGTGCAACCAAAGTCAGGGGCGCAGCAGCATCCCCTGTTACCCAGGCAACCAGTCTGGCCCCACAACACTCTGCAAGGGTGTTCCCAACCCACTGGTCTCTCCTTGTCCTGATATCTTCTTGGGTTTGACCTTGAGGAAGTCACCTCCCCACTAAAGGTCCCTCTCTTTGCCAAGGGCACAATGCAGCCACAAGGAGTATGTGACCATGGTCCTCGTTCCTTCCCACATGCTCACTGAATGCCTCTTGTGTGCCAGCCCATTCTGCCACTGGGCAGACATGGGTGACCCTGCTTCCCCAGAGCCTGCAATCTGGAGAGGGACACAGCTAAGCCTGTTCCAGGTGACTCAGATCACCAGATGACTAGTCTGTCCTTTCGGCTGAGACCAGTGCCTTCTGGGAGAATCCTGGGAGCAGTTTACAGCAGAGTGAACACACCACAGAGCAGCAACCTGGGCTCCAGAGGGACTTTACCTCTGCAGAGCTCTGTGAGCAGCAGGAACTCCGCCTGCCCTGTGTCAGATTCCTCTTTTCCTATGGATGCTGCGGAACAGAACTGGACGATGTTGGGGTGGCCGGAGAGTTTTTTCTGCAGGTTATCTTGTTAAAGGAGAACATGCATGAACAGGTACACAATTCTGTGCACTTAGAACATACAAAGCACTGAGCGGCCAGTCATGATACCTGGACTGCCTTACACTGCAGCAGAGCAGAAAGATGAGGACAGCCACACGGGGCCACGAGAAGGATGCAGGAAAAAGCAATGGAGAGAGTGACATGCAGGCAGGCAGAGGCTCTGGGGTGCCACAGCCAGGGGGCTGTGAGTGTTACCACGCTATTCACAGCTGGGAAGCCACCACATACTCTGATCAGGCAAAGCTTAGAGAGAGAAGAAGCAGATCTAGGCAGCAGCAATGCAAGGCCCCAGTCCAGGAGGACATGCATGGCAGCAGAGAACAGGAAGAGCCCACAGTCCTGCTGTCTATATGGCAGGCACTGAGCAGGAGGCCACACAGAGGCCTGCTGGCACCATGGCTGTCTATAGTGCCCTCACCCAGGCCGTCAGACAGATTGGGCAGAGCAGGGCACTCCCAGGCGTGGGGATCTCTAGGGTAGGAACAGCAACCTCCTTCCTAATATCTCTGAATCTTTTACTATGACTCGGGAAGTACAAAACAGGAAGAAAAATCCTTTTCATTGGAAATGGTCTGCAAGAAATCTGGTAAAGGCAAAAGGCCAGTTTTAACACATCATACAGGATGACACAAAGCAGCTTCTGGTGGGTGGGGGTCACAACCTGATGCTGTTCCTAAGTGACAGCACCAGCCCTCAGGTCCAGGAAAAGGATACCAAGAAGCAAACTTCCTGAATGATGGCTCTGTTCTTTTCCTCTTCGTTGGACAGTAACCGCTGTTGGGGAATAGCATATGAGAAAGGTTGAAGACCATTTACCCTGCATTTTGCACGACAGCTTATCTTAGACAAATACCCAAGAAAAGAAAAGGCACTGCATCTGACAACATACAGCAAGTTTAGCTGCATTTTAACATTTGACCTGACGAAAGCTTAGAGACCCTTGCACAGCCCTTGTAAGGCAAGAACACAACAGAAAGTAAAAAAAGAAGCCAGAATGAAACAAGACAGACAAGGAGAGGGAGAAGCGTCATCAGGCAGAGGCCAAAGCCAGGCCCTCAGGGTCCATCAGTGAGGACTACCCAGCCCCTAGCAGCTGGGCCTGCAGCTGGGTCCCAGGTGAACACCAGAGCTGCCCTGCCTTGCACCCAGGTCATGGAGACCCAGCCCATCATGACCCCTATCTGTACATGCTCTGTGGGTGCAAATTCCACGAGTGGCTTCTGAATTCCCCATATTCTTAGACCCTTATTCTGGCATATGGAACCAAGGGGCTATGACCCCGCAGGGAGGTCACTCTCACCCTGCCCCCAAGGCTGAGGAGTCCCCCCTGTCCCATCAGACAGAAACACCTCAAGGGCATCCTCAACCCAAGCTGGAGATAGGACAAGACAGACAGATGAATTGTACAGCAGATACCAAATGAGTAACAAGGACCCGTCCCCGAAAATAGTCCCAGAGGTGCCTGTGAATAAACCAACCCCCACCACCACCGTGTCCAGCTGTTCTTTTTACCTTTAATGCATACTCTCTGCCACTTCCCAGATCCTGAGCTTCATATACAAATGCAAATCCTCCTGAAAATAAAATTGTATGTCAGTGCAGTACCATGATTTAAGCACAGAAATACCTTTACTAAGTAAAACAGACACTAGCCTTGTGGCTGCAGAAAGGAATGTATTTTCCACAAAAAAAATGCAGCCCAGTTTACCCTCCAGTGCCACTGACAAGATGGGAAAGAAAGCCTCAGGCCAATCAACAAAGACGTGCAGCATCGGAGGAAATCAGCAAAACCAAAAGTGAATACTCTGAAAACAGTAGCTCTTCTGAGATTTTATCAGACAGTTTTCAGATTTCATCCACCAAATATTTTTCTGGAGACACACTCTCACTATGTAATCTAGGCTGGTCTTCAATTCATGATCCTCCTTCCTCAGCCTCTTAAATGCTGGGATCACAGGTATGCGCCACCATGCTCAGCCTTTGCTAAGCTTTTTGTAGTGTTCTCCAAGTAGAAAGTCACATTGTGAAATTTTAAACTGTCATCATATTCAGACCATCTACAAGTGACAAAAGGAGCACCCTACCTAGCATGCTTTGCCCCCCACAAGACTAGGGGCAAGAAAGGGCTGTGTCCTTGTCACTTGGTGTCATACTGTGGTGCAATCAGATGAAAAGAAATGAGAGGCACTCAGATCACAAGAAGCAGCAAAGACATTCTTATTTTCAGGTAACATGATCTCCTCCATGGAAAATCTGGTGAAATCTCAAAAGAACAGCTACTGTAACTAATAAGTGAATTTAGGAAGGCTGTAGGGTATAAAAGCAAAATACAAAAATCAATTATATTTCTATACCACCAAGATAGGCAGAGATTTCTTAGACATAAGCACAGAAGCACCATCCATTAAAAAAAAGATAAATGAACTGTATCTAAAAAGATCTGCTCTTTTAAATATACTCATCAGAGAATAAGAAGATCCACTAATTACATGTGCAAATCACCTATCTGATAAAAGACTTCTTCCCAGAAAATATAAATCCCAAAATGCCATAACAACAAAAATTTTAATGAGAAAAAAAATCAAAAAGGATACACTAGGGTGGTTAAGCACATAGCAAGATATCCATAGTTATCATTACAGAAATGCAAATTTAAACCACAAGATACTCTAAGCACCTATCAGAATGCCTAAAATTTTAAAAACTCACCAGATCAAGTGTTGTTTAGGAGGAGGAGCAACTGAAACATATACACACTACTTGTAGAAATGTCAAAAGATACAACCACTCTGGGAAATAGTGACAATTTCTTAAAAAGTTAACCATATATCAACTATATGGTGATGGCTGGTCATGGACGTAAATGTACAAGGGCAAGACCATAAAACTGTAAGATAAACATGGAAGAAAATCTTCAAGATCAGGACTCTTAGGGGTGCTTGCGAAGGGGGTGTACTGTGATTACCTAATCTGCTTTTGAAATCAATCTAAATACACCCTGTTGACCCCCAAAGAGGGAATCCTGGCCCCAAACAGAACCCTCCCGCTTCTGTGCGTCTGCTTCCTAACAACGCTGCGTTTGTCAGTCAGTACCAAATCCTCCCTGCTTCCTCCGTCCTGTACAAGGAAGCGCCCTCTAACGGTGGCGGGGGGGAAACACACTTGCCTCAGAAATATTGAAGCTTGTTTTTAAAATACTAGATTTCTTACCCTGTTTTAGTTGAGAAAGCAGCTTCAAACAACTAAGTCAAAGGAGGAAGTCTGGCTCATAATTTACCGGGTTATTTTTTTTCTCCTGCCTCACCTAGAGCGCAAAGGGAACAAGCTCCTCTGCCCCGCCACAGCTTGGACTTCCTTGTTCTGCATCCGGGTGCTGCCTGACCCGCAAAAGCTTCCTGCTTTGCGGAACCCTCCCTCTTTCTTACCAAAGCTCACTAAATCACAACCCAAAATCTGCTTCTAACACAGTAGAAAGAAGTAGGTGACAATGCTACAGCCAGAATATCCCTTCAGGCCTTCTAGAATAAGGACACCAGAATGTTGTGCCACATCCCCAGCCCCAAAATCTAGCAGCCCTGAGCAGGGCCTCACTCTCCCCACACCAAGGCAGAACACAAGTGTTTTTCGCCCATAAATTTTAGAGGTGGAGAGACATGACACAGTCCTGGGCACCTTTCGACAAAGGCAAGGAAAACCCAGAGATGGGAACGCCATGCACATCAATAATCAATCTGCGTGAAGAAGGTAGAGGGCATTCAGGAAGTACAAACAAATCTGGCAAAAGACACCCCAGGACACACAACTCATGGCCTCTATCACGAAAGCTTCTACATGGGTCACAGCCACTGGCTGTAAGAAGAGGAAACCAGGACTATGGGACCCAGCACTGAGGATGGCAGGACTCCCACGGCCTCAGCGCTGTGTGCGGCCACCGACCGAAGAGCACCCCACAACTCAGAAGAGCCAGTCCTGAGATCCACAGTCCAGTCTAAGCCCCTGGTGCACAGCATTCCTGGATGTGATGCAAAGAGCCGTGCTTATCTCATGCCCTTCTCTACAGCTCTGCTGACCTTTTGATGCCAACCGGTGGCCTTTTGAGCCCCTTCTCTGGGCCTCCCCCACCTACTCTCACAGCCTCTGCTTTCGACAGGGGAGGTGCCTGAAGATCCTGGTAGTGGAAATCCTTTCTGCCCACATCTGACCTGAGCCCAACAGTGGAGACCCTTCGCGGCCCTGACCCGATCCCCTCACTAGCAGTGGTGACCCTTCTCACCCTGACGTGACCCCTGCTGACAGCGGTGACCCTCCCGGCCCCGGCCTGACCCCCGCTGACAGTGAAGACCCTCACCAATCCCTGGTGACGGTGACTTAACCCTCGCTGATAGACACCTGACCCCTGCTGACATCGGTGACCCTCCCGGCCCCGGCCTGATCCCCGATGACAGTGAAGACCCTCACCAATCCCGATCTAACCCCTGCTGACAGCGACCTAACCCTCGCTGACAGACACCTGACCCCAGCTGACAGCGGTGACCCTCCCGGCCCCGGCCTGACCTCCGCTGACAATGGTGACCCGAGCTAACCCTGCCCCTCGCGGCCTGGTGACGCTCCCGCCCAGCGCGGGCCTCACCCTCCGCCAGAACTCGCCGCACCCGCAGGCGCAGCTCGCCCAGCTCCACAGTCTGCCCCACGAAGTCGCTCTGGTCGCGGCCGGCAGCTCCGCCCAGGGAGCCGGGACCTGCCAGGAAGTCCAGCGCAGACTGTAGCAGTGACATGGCGACGGCCGCTCAGAGGCAGTGGGAGCCGGGGCCGGGGCCAGGGTTGGGGCTCCGACTCCGCTCCGCCGGATCAGCGGCAGCCCGCGAGCAGCCCCGCCATCTTCCGCCCGCGCCGTGACGTAGGAGCGTGAGCACGTCGGCGGCGCGCCCCTGCGGGGCGGAAGTACCTGCCCGCTTCCGCCGCGCCGGCCAGCCCCTCCCTTCCTGTCTGCAGTTCGCGGGCTCGGAGCGGAGGCGCGTAGGAAGGGTAGTGGCGGCCCGTGCAGGTCGCCAGCCCCGCCGCTGCGCGCCCGCCAGCGTCTGACGTGGCTGGCTGGCCCCAGCCCCCCTCCTAGAACGCTCCCGTCAGCCCAGGTGGTCGGTCCCCTTCCGCGAGGTTCTGCCTGCCTCGGTGGCGCAGACCTCGGGGGCGTTGGGCGCGCAGCGCTGTTTAACCGTCGCCCCCGCCCGTGCCGCGCTGGGGACTGCCTGAGCCGAGGCCTCTGGCGCTGACGCCCCAAGGTAAAGCGAGACCTGAACAGCCCAAGGGCATCTAACGCCAGTCACCAGGGCCGCCCCTTAGGTGACCCGCACACACGGGAGTTTACTTCTTAGCCCGCTCAGGATGGGGGCTGAAAATGAGCTCGCTACTGTTGAAAGGCTGAAAGTTTTAAGTGTTGCAACGTCGTATCTAGTAATATAGGATCCAGAGCCCCGTGCCAGCAGCCACCCAGAGCTGCCCCCTCCAGGTAAGAGCAGCCCTGCGCCTGCCGACCTGGCCCCGTTGTGCAGAGTGGATCCTAAAGCCCAGTCTTCGTCATCTTAACCTCTCAGGATTTCAAGCTTAATAAATACCCTTCCAGGCAGGTTAACACCTGCTGTCTTTAAAAGTGAAATAGAAAAAGGATGGAAAGATGTACGTCGGACTTAGCGACAGCGAGCTCATAGGCGGCTTGCCAAGAGCAGTTTGATCTGAGCGATGAGTGGAAGCTGGGTCACAGTGGAGGAGTGAAGCGCCGGTGAGGCAGAGATGGTACATGGAGGTAACTGGGGAACTGTGGGAGAAGAGTGTGGGGCTTGAAGGACCGTGTGTTCTAAGGTGCGCGGTGGCCGCAAAGAGAAGAAGGCTCTTTGTGGTACAGAAAAGAGAAGTGTGCGGCCAGGCCATTCAAGACAGGAATGCAGGGGCATCCAGGGCGCACATCAGGGTGTTTGCTTTTGGCATAGGAAAAGCATTTTTTCTAAACGAGGGAAGGAGGGAAAATGGCCTGTAGTTGCTGGTTACTTTTTGTGTTGATTGGAATGAGACAATTCTCGTGACTTCTGGTTTCTGATAAGGAGAAGAAGGCATCCGCTAAAAGTGACAGGGAAGGAAGGAACCCTAAGACTTATACAGTGTGGAAGAGACCAGAATGACTCACTAGAAAGTGTTACAAAGTTTTATGCTATGAACTCACACTGTGTGACCTAAGTTTCTAAGTGGAGGTTTTCTAACTACTGTAATTACTTTGGAAGCCAGAATCTACTCAGACATTTTCACAAATATTTATAGAGCACTTTTGCTGGCCTTGCAGTAAATGTATGTTAACACCATCTTAACCAAAATCTGCATCTCCAGTCTTCTTCGCTGAACTCTTAAGATACCTCACATGTACACACATATCTAAAACTGAATCAGTGGTCTTGATTCCCCTGTAGCAGATGTCATGGCAAAGGATATTACTAAGTTTAAGAGATTTTATTTCATAACGATGAATTCATCAAAAGAATATAGCAATCCTAGATATGCACCTAACAACAAAGTTCTAAAATACACAAAACAAAAACTAATAGAACTGCAAGAAGAAACAGACAAGTCACAAGGGTAATGTGTTACAACTAATTTGGATTTGTCCCAGGAATGCAAAGTTGGGTTTGTATTTGAAAAATATTAGTGCAATTCACCATTAAGAGTGAAAAAGAAAAGAAACTGGATCAGGCCAGGTGTAGTGGTGCACATCTGTAATCCCAGCAATTTGGGAGGCTGAGGCAGGAGGATCCCTGAGAGTTTGAGTCCAGCCTGGGCTGCAAAGTGAGACTCTGTCAAAAGAACCAAAAAATAAAATTTGATAAAATTCTCTCAAGATACTTTAAAAAGCATTCGATAAAATCCAACATATCCATTGCTAAGTTCAAAACAAAACAGTGCACTAGGAGTACAATTACATTTGTTCAACATGGTAAGGGTATCTGTGAAAAACTTACTGCTACCCTCATGCAGAATAATGAAAGACTGAATGTTTGAGCCATAAGATTAAGAGCAAAGCATGGCTGTCTGGTGTGACCAATTGTACTCAGTGTTGCATTGGAATTTTAGCCCGTGTAATGGGGCAAGAAAACAGCTGGGTTGGAAGTAACTTTAGTTTGAGAAAACGTGTTTGTGTCACTGTTCTTCAGCTATGGCACTGCCCAACAGTCTGGGCTAGATCATGCCTGTGTGCTGGTGGGAAGCATTGCCCTGTGAGTTATGGGATGTTTAACAGCTCTGGCCTTCACCCCATGGATACCAGTCACACACATACCACGTATGACAGGCACGGATATTTCCAGACATATCACCTATAAATAAGTCAGATGTAATCTACAGAAAAGAGCTACTGGAGCTCATGAGTTTTGCACAGGGTAAATGTGCAAAAATCAGTTCTATTGCTATATACTAGCAACATATTGGGGATTGAAAACAGAAAAAATATCATGTACAAAGCATCAGTAAGTAAAATACTAGGAATAAAGTTGAAACAAGATGGGGAAGATGTGCACTTTGAAAACTACAAAAACATTGCAGAGAAAACCCACAGTAAATAGAGGGATTGATCACCCTCATAAATCAAAAGATTCAGTCTTGCTAGGACATTCATTCTAAATTGTACAGACCCAGTGCAGTCCACTCTCACCCCACTGACTTCATAGAAATTGGCACGCCGGGGCTAGGGTAGAGTTCAGTGGTAGGGTGCTAGCCAGCATGCACGTAGCCCTGGGATCCATCCCCAACACCTCACAGGAAAAGAAGACATTGATGCTGAATCTAAAGTTTGTCTGGGTCTGTGAAAAAGCTAGAATAGCCAAAACAACTTTGAACAAGGACAAAATTATATGACCTCCATTACATAACTTCAGAATTATATGACCTTCTATTACATAACACTGGCCACAGTAACCAAAAGTGTGTTGCTAATGTAAAGCTACCCAAGTAGATGGATGAGAGTCTAGAAATAAGCGTGCAGGACTGTGGCCATCTGATGACTTATAGGAAAACAATGGTAATTCATTCGAGAAAGAGTTGTTCTCTCAACAAATGATACTAGAAAAATTGGATATCCGTGTATTTAAAAAATGAACCATAACCCATACCTTTTACCATATATAAAAACTCAGAATTGGTCATAAATCTAGAACTAAAACTTACAGAAGAATACCTACTGAAAAAATAAAAAAGAAGAAAACCTACTGAATGTGTGAGATTTTAAAATATAACATCAAAATATGACCAATAAGAGATTAAACTGGACTTCATCTAAATTATAAACTTTAGCCAGGCTCTGTGCACACCTGCATTCCAGTGCTCTGAGAGGCTGAGGCAGGAGGACCACAAGTTGAATCCCAGCTTGGGCAACTTAACTTAGTGAGACTTTGTCTCAAAATTTTTAAAAAGGGGCTGGGGATGTAGTTCAGTGCAAAGGCCTTACATTCAATCCCTGATACTACAAAATAAAATTAAGAACTTCAGGTGGGTGTGGTGGTGTGCACCTATAATCCTAGCACTTGGGAGGCTGAGGCAGGAGGATTGCTGCAAGTTCAAGGCCAGCCTGGGCCACAAAGTGAGTTCAAAGCTACCCTGAACTGCATAGTGAGACCCTGTTTCAAAAAGACAAATAAATAAATAAAATTAAGAACTTCAAAATATGCTGCTGAAAGAGACCAACATTTTCAGAAGGTGAGTAGATCAACTGTAATATGTCCATAAAATGGAATATTCAGTAATAAAAGTCAGTGAGTATGAAGACAAGAGGACTTCAGGAAACCTAAACGTACATCATTAAGTGAAAAGCTGATACTGTATGCTTGTACCACAGGACACTGGAAAGACAGACTGGAGACCAGGATAGAGGGGAGGGTGGGCAGAGCAGGCATAGAGCATTTTTAGTCCAGGAAGCTACTCTGTATGGTAGTGCCTGGCCTGCATTTCTCAAAACCCAGTGTGCAACAGGCTTGTGAGTTCGGTTCCCGGTACCAGAAAAAAACCAAAAAGAAAAGAAAAACAAAACAAAACAAAAAACAAAACAAAACTCACGACCTTGTGCTTGCCAGGCAGGCGCTGTGCCGCTGAGCTAAATCCCCAGCCCCAATGATGCTGTTTATTAGTATTTCTCTTAGAGTTCCCTGAAATGATAACTTAAAACTGCCTTGTCCTTAAAAGAAGTCAGAGTTTCCTCTGAGTCCCCCCCCCCCCCCCGCCCCATTGTGTGAGAATCTAAATCAGGTGTCCAAGAAGGGAGGTCTGAAAGAACAGTCCCTGTTCTGGCATCATCAGACAGCCAGGTGGGGTATGTGAAGGAATGCACATGATACATGATCTTGGGATATCCCTGTGCCCTGAGAGGTGGCTTGAGGTATGAGATGTCAGTGATCATAAATGTGTCACATACTGACATCTTTGTGTCTTTTTTTTGTTTGTTTTTGTCTTTTTGAGACAAGGTCTCGATTTGCAGTTCAGGCTGGTCTTGAACTCACTTTGTAGCCTAGGCTGGTCTCATGATCCTCCTGCCTCAGCCTCCCAAATGGTAGGATTACAGGTATACATCACCATGCCAGGTTTTGTCTTAATTATACTGTCAGAGTACGTTGTTCGGAACTCCCCTCACCCTGCAGCCTACTAATTAACTCTCTGCCCAACCGCTGAACCCGAGTCACCCCTGGATGTCTGTTGGTAGTGATGACTCAGCACTGGGTTGTCACTGTGCAAAGTGTTCATAATGGCTACAGGGAACTGCAAAGGGCTGCAAAGGAGCTATACTTCGTGCTGTTTCCTGTGAACCTAAGACTGATTTTAAAATTGTCCATTAATTTTTTAGAAAATCTACTGTTCAGGTATATGGGTAGAACTCAGTGGGAAAGCTCTTGCCTTGCATGGTTAAGGCCTGGGTTCAATTCACCCTAGCACCACAAAACAAAACAAAAACTAGTTTTTTGGTTTGGTTTGGTTTGGTTTCATTTCGTTTTTCTGGTACTGGGAATTGAACTCACGACCTCGTGCTTGCCAGGCAGGTGCTGTGCTGCTGAGCTAAATCCCCAGCCCCCAAAACAAAAATTGTTGAAGAAACAAGAAGACAGCCCAGAAGAGTGGGAGAACATAATTGCAAGTTTCATATGTGATAATAGACTTGTGTCTGGAATCTGCATAAAGAAAAACCTTGTGGAGTCCCTGGAATCTGTAGGGTTGCATTCGGGAGGGTCCAGGGTACTCTGTGATGTGAACCTGGATTCCTCAGGTGTACCTCCCAGCTTGACCCTTGTGTGCTGTGCTCTGGCCTTTCCAAGCCCCTGGTGTTGCACACCAGGCTCTCCATTGCACACACACGCGGCCACTTCCGTCTTGCCTTTCATTCTCACAGCATTGTGTGTAGACTAAGACGTTCAGTCTGAACTACTAGGTGCTTGGTGCCGAGAACATGCTCGTAGGTGTCTCTTACTCTTCTTGTCACTGTAGGAAATGTTTTCAGATTCAGCCCCAGCATCTCCCTTTCCAAACTTTCCCTGACTCCATCCCTCTGGGAAACCTTGCTGCCCCATCCCACGATGTGTGTCTGGTGACAGCAAGCTGTTGGGTGTGTGTCCTGCTCACGTCTAGGTCCAGGGCCTCGCATACTACACAGCATGTCTACCACAGGATCCAAACCCTCACCCACCTCCTCTCGCGAATTTCTAGGTTTTCCTTTTCACCCTTGTCAGCACTGGAAATCCTCCCATGCTTGGCAACATCGCTGTACTCCATGCCCTCTCTTCAGTCCTGTCTCCTCCCCTTCATTGTGACTAACAGACTTATATTTGAATATGTGGCTGACATGTTTTGGACACTTAAATGCCAGGCATTAGGTTATGTTCTGTTTGTGGTAAAATACACATAACATTTACCATTTTTAAGTGCACAGCTCAGTGGCATTAGGCACACTCACTTTGTTACCCAGCTGTCATCACCATCCATCTCCAGAACTCTTCACCCCAATCTAAAGCTCATCACAGGCGCCCCCATTCCTCCCAGCTCTGGGACCCCCGTTCTATGTCTGTCTCTGTAGACTTGATGCTGGAGGCACCACATAGAAGTGGGGTCATGCAATATTTTTCCTGTGACTGGCTTGTTTCTCAGCCAGTGTCCTTGAGGCCTGCCCTGCTGCAGACATGTCAGAACCCTGTCATGTGGACAGGCTCCTGTGTACACGGATATACACACGGCCTTTGCCTCCCATCTGTAGATGGTGCTTGGGTTGCTCCTACCTCTGGGCCATTGTAAATAATGCTACTATGAATGTTGGGGAACAAATACCTCTTGGGGTCCCTGCTTCAGTTCTTTTTAATATATTCCCATTAGTGTAATTCCTGGACCTTATGGCATTCTGGTTTTCTTTTCTTCTTTTTTCTTTTTCTTTTTTTTTTTCAGTGCTGGACATAGAACCCAAGTTGGGCCTCATGCATGCCAGGGAAATGCTCTACCACTGAGCTACATTCCCCAGCCCCATTTTAAATTTTTTTGAGCAACTACAATACTGTCTTCCACAGCAGCTGTGTCATTTTACATTCCCACCAACAGAGCCCAAAGGTTCCAGTTTCTCCACATTTGAGCAACACTCAACTCAGTTTTGATTTGCAGTGTAGCAGTCCTGGAGGGTCACTCATTGTGGTTTTGACGTGCATTTCTCTAATGCACCATAATGTTGCTCAGCATCTTTTCATGTACTTACTGACCAGTCATACGTGTTGTCCTTGGAGGTACATCTTCACATCCTTCACCCATTTTTGAATTGTTATTTCTTATTTGACTTATTTAAACTTTTTATTTGAAGTTTTTGTTTTTTAGATGTCAACGTTTCCCAGATCCATGACTTGCAAACGTTCTTTCCCATTCTATGGACTGTTGTGGTTTGGTGTGGTGTGGTGTGGTGTGGTTTGGGATGGAAGACTTGCTCTGTTGCCCAGGCTGTTGAACTCCAGTGCTCAGGTGGTCCCTTGCTTCAGCCTGCTGAGTAGCTGAGACTATAGGTGCTCACCACCACACCTGGCTGTCTCAATTTTCTTAGTCATGGCCTTTGAAACACAAAGCAGTGGCCCAGGAGTGATTATGACTTTGAGAAATAGAGACCCTGCTGCCTGTCTTCTCCCACCCTTGTGCCCATCCCGCATGCTCTCTGGAATTCCTCTGCTAAGCTCCTGTTCTGGGTTCTGGCATGTGTTACATTATCGTGAAAGACGTGGATGACACACTGGCTACGTCTTTTTGCAGCTCATGTTTTCCTCTCCGCACTGTGTTTTGGTTTCATTTACGGGTACACAGTGGCTTCAGAATTGCTGTGTCTTAACAAACCTTGCTTCCTTGCAGACTGAGGCACAACTGCTTGCTGCCCTGTGGCTATGCTCATCATGACCTTAGAGCTGTTGCTAATTGTCTGTTCTGTTCCTGACATCATATGTGTCCCCGCTTATCCTGGCCCACTCTTCCTGACAGGACTTTCACCAGCTAACTGATGTGTCTCTGGTTTCACTGTGTCTCCCTGATTGCCGGCAGAGTTGAGTGCCTTTTTTCCCCTTTTTTGTAATGCTGGGGCTGCACACTTCATAGGCCAGTGCTCTACCGTTGAGCTACAGTCCCAGACCCGGTAGCTTATGTATTTATTCACAGTTTGTTTTCCCCTCCAGTAATTGCTTGGAGCCTTCTTTACTGTTTTGGGGTAGGATTTCTGGGGTGTCCTCCTGGCCGGTGTTCACTGTCCTTGTTTGCACACCTCTTGTACCCAGTTGAGCTGTCTGCTCTACTCTGGCCACACCCGCTGCTCTGGAAGCCGCCCTCCCTGGGTGTCCTGTCCTGCTCTCTCTACCCCTCCTCAGTGGCATAGGTACCCTGTGACCAAGACCTCTGCCTGGGGAGTCGCAGCCTCCTCCGCATGTGCTGCAGGGTCCTGTCCGCCCCTCCCTGCAGGAGCCACCTTCCCAGGCCTGCACCCTCGTCAGTGCACAGTCTGCAGGCTGCTCCCCTGTGTCAGGAAGGGCAGCAGGAGTGCTTCCATCTGTCTGTGGGCCTTCTCCACCCTGTAGGAGCCATGCCTGAGGCCACTTCTGCACTGTGCTGGCAGACCCACCCACTGCCACCTGACTGTGTCTCCCCGCTGAGCAGTGGCCCTGACATATGCCTGCCCCTCTCCCCTGGCTGCACATGGGGCTCAGCACACACTGCCCAGTGGACCCCTCTGTCATGCCCTATAGCTGCCAGACCATCCCAGTGTCCCCCAGCCCCACGAAGCCAGCTCCTGCCAGCCACCATGACTGCATTTGGCTCTTTGCCCAGACATAGGTGTCCCTCCTACCCAGGGCTCAGCCCAGCCAGCCTCTGCATCTTCCCAGGCCCATGTCCAACATAAAAACCACCAAGGAGCGCTGGGCCGGGGCAGCCACCCAGCGTTTGCAGTGTGTGTTCCTTGCTCTGGGTGGCTCTGAACTGGCTAGAGCATCACGCTGTCTCCTTGTTTGGGACAAAAGCACCTTATAGGACAGTGCCTATCATTGAGCCCAGACACTTGGGACCCTTTCTTGGTACGTGCTGTGTTGAGCACCTACCCATGTCGTACTTGCTTCCTTCACTGCTTGCTTCTGTAGGGGAAACTAAGGCACAGCACATCTCTTGCCTGATCACAAAATTCAGCAGTAGAGCCTGATGCTGGTGTTCTTAGCCTGGAGGTTACAAAATCTGGAGGGGCTGCCTGTGGAAGCATCCCTTGCCCACTCCCCATGCCCAGCTGCCATCCTCATGGTGGAAGTCCAGAGGTGCGGCCCCCTGTAGTGCCCCACTCTGCACTTACTGCTCTGATCTTCCCAGGCTCCTGTGACCACTGGACAGCAAACCCACCATGTCTGGGCCTCAACACACGGAGCAGGCGCCAGATTCCCAGGGAGACTCGCCCTTGGGCAGGAGTGACGAGGATGCCAAGGAGGGGACCCAGAGTTCCCACCGCATGCTGGGCTTCAGCGACGCGCTGCTGTCCATCATTGCCACCGTCATGGTCAGTGTGGGCCCCGCCTCAGTATCCTTAGGTTCCCCAGTCCCTCAGGTGGGTTAGAGCACCTAGCATGTGCCCCAAGTCTGCAATACCACCGCCTCCGAGGGCGCCTAGCCAAGAAGTGTCTCTGTTCTGTCATTGTTCCTGCAGATCTTGCCTGTAACGCACACGGAGATCTCCCCAGGGCAGGTAACAGAGTAGACTTCGTGGTGTTGGGGCGGCGGGGGGGCACACTCCTGCTGAGAGGAGTGTACCCAGGATGGTGGGGCTCCCTCAGCCACCTTGGCGCCTGTGCCTGCCACCCTGGAGGATGGCTTGCTGGAGGTGTTTCTGAAGCAGAGAGCAGTGCATGTGGCTTTGCCTTTGGAAGGTCCTTGGGTACACACTCATGCCTTGCTTTTCCCCGTGGGACTGGGGCACCGTGCAGTAGAGCAGCCAAGGTGCCACGCTGAGGTCTGGGGGCTGAGTAGGATGAGGGGACACCCAGCACTCACAGGTGCATCCAGCTTCTGCAGGGCCCACGGCAGCTGGGGTCAGCTGTGCTGCTCAGGGAAGCTGGTTCTAAGGGGGATACGGTTCCTGGGAAACCTGCGGTGGGCAGGGTCTGGCATACGGTGAGGCACACACCTCACCATAAGCTCAGAGCAGGGTTCTTGGAGTGCAGCAGTGAGGATGTGAGAGGCCCAGGCGAGGACATGCCACCCCCCAGCACTGACCATCTGGCTGACAGCTCACCCTCTCCTCTATGTCAGCAGTGTCTTGGAGACCGAGACTTTTTGGTGCTCTCAGTCCTAACTGGTTCTCAGGAAATTCCTGGAAGTTCATGGGATACGTCCAGAGGAAAAAGATGAAGGGTGGCTACCTCCTGAGGGAGTGCTGAACAGTGGGCACTTCCGGTGTTGGGGAGGGCTTCACACCTGTGCCTCTGCCTTAAAAAAGAAGCTGGGCATGGGGGCATGGTGGCACACAGTGTGTACTCAGAAGGCTGAGGCAGGGGGGATTACAAGTTTAAGACCAGACTGGCAACTTGAGATTTGCCTCAAAATAAAAAGGGCTGGAGGTCTGAGGATATAGCTCAGCGGCACAAGCACCTGCCTGGCAAACATAAGGCCCTGAGTTCGATACCCAGTACCAAAAAAATAAAAATAAGAAGGGCTGAAACATAGCCGAGTGGTAGATTGCTTAGTGTATATGAGACCCTGGGTTCAGTCCCTAGTAGTGGAGGGAAAAATCAGACCAGTGAACGCTGAACATCTATGATTCAGAAAGCATAATGGCACTTGAAGAGTATCATTGCTGCACATGCACATGGACCCAGGAGCTTGGGCGCCATTGGGTCAGGCCAAGACTGAGAGCGCTATGCTGATGGAGCCCCTCCACACCCTCTTCTCCACTCTAGCCAGTCGACTGTTGCCTGTGGTGGGCAGGCCCTACCTGCAGTCCCATGGGCTTTTGTGGGCACCTCGACACACACTGTGTGGGACCACTTTCCTGGGCAAAGCCAGTCTGACCCTGCTGTGCTGTCAGTGTCTGTTCCTCCCAAATTCATGTGTTGGAACGCAAACCTCAGGGTGACAACATAGGGTGGGATCAGCGGCCTTCTGCTGCCTAGTTGCCCCGCTGTCCATCCTACCACTGGGGACTAACCCTTCTGCTCCGCCTGCTTACTTGTGGCTCATGTGTCCCTGGTTCTACCCTGGAGCCTGGTGCTGATGGACCTCCGGAACGCTGACCTCTGTGGAGACCTGCCCAGCAGTGCAGCAGTGACTCTGGGGGTGGGGTGGGATTGGGTGGGCTGGACTGGAGGAGGGAGTGGAAAGCCCAGGCATTGGGCCACGTGAGGTTCCCTCTTCTCACAGCAGTGCTCTTTTACTCCAGGACTTTGACAGAAGCATGCAGAAACTTCTAGCCACCAGGATTGCTGTCTACCTTATGACGTTTCTAATCGTGACAGTGGCCTGGGCCGCACACGCTAGGTAGGAGCTGGGCTTGTCCGAGGTGACATCCTCACCATCAGGACTTGCTAGACCACACTGGGCCCACTGTTCCCAGGGTGTCTACAGGCCCTACACTTTATCACATGCTTCTCCAAAGGGCTGGGGTCAGTAGGCCACTCCTGCTCACCTTCTCAGGTTCTTGCTCTGAGCCTTGTCCTGGGATGGTGGAGGGGACCTGGGCAGGCCTTCTCCTAAGCCACTCAGTGCCTCCCGCTGGCCTTCCTGCCTGGCAGGCGTGACCAACAGCCAAGGACTCTTCCGCTCAGACAGGCAGCAGGACCGGAGGGATGGGCTGTATTGGCAGGGCCGGGGCCGTATTAGTACCAGCCCTACCCCACTCCCTGGGAGGCTGAGCTTTAATCTGGGGAGGAAAAGGGTCTTAAGGATCCAGGGACCCCAACTGCCAGTCTCAGCAGCAGGGTCAGAAAGTCCCAGAGGTAGAGCTGGAGTGTGGATGTAGACGTCTGTATATAGTCTGTCAAGGGGAAGTGCTTGTCAGCCGGTGCTGGGGAGCAGAGAAAGCCACAGCTCTTGCTAAGTGTTTGCACTGTGCTGAAAATGCCACACATTTTACGTCATATTCTGTTGTCAGCAAAGTGACTGTTTCTGGTGGTGACCGTGGTCCCCCACGTTCAGATCTCTGGGGGAGGGCTTTTCTCAGTAATTGGGAGGCTCATGGGCTGGTGGTACTGGGTGACTTCAGGCTCTGCTCAGCCGCTCTGGCCCAGCATTGGCTAGCTCACCAGAGGCCACATACTGAGGAGTCTGTCCATAGAGTGGGTGCGGGGCCTGGGCCTGCACAGGGCTGTGTGGAACTGCTCTGTGCCTCACACCCATTCCGGGATGCTGGCCTGTGTGCACAGTCATGGCCCTCAGCACACCTGCAGAGCTGCTGGGTCCCAGGCAGTAGCCGTTTGGCTTTTGGTGAAGGCTGTGAGCCCTGAGCAGGCACTGTGCTCTCTGCAGTGACCTGAACCAGGGCTGACCTTACTAGGGAAACCCTGGGGTAGGAGCCAGATCAGAGGCCGCAGGACCAACCAGGTCCTTGACAGGCCAGGCTCACATTTTTGCCTGGCTGAAGGCAGCTTTAGCAGGTTCGATGTGTGAAACCTGTCAAAGGAACAGGAAAAGAGCACTTTCGGGAGAGCAAGTTGACTGCATGATGGAGCCCCAGGTATGTGCACCTGCAGGCAGGCAGGCAGAGGATGCTCCCAAGAGCTGCTGGGCCAGCCCAGCCTCTGTGGCTCTCTGGCCCTGTCCACATCAACAACTCCTGAGCCCCTTTTCCCACAGGTTGGGCCTGCTCCAGGGGGGCTTTGGAAAACCATGCCCAGTGTACACATTTGTATCTGCAGTGGTTCTGTTCAGAGCCACATGCTTTAAACCGGGAGCAAAACGGAGAGAGAACATGTGGGAATGAAGGTGTTTTTAGGGAAGCTGTGTCATCGTCTTTGAATTTCCTGAACCTTATTCATTAGGTAGTGTTTTATATTTGGTCCAAGTAATGTCTTCTGGTGCTAGTGTACCTAGGAATGCCCATGATGGTGTATTTTGATCCTGTGAGCACCACTTCTGACCATTGGTCCCTTTCTTCCTGTTTTCACTTTGTGTAGGTTGTTTCAGGTTGTTGGGAAAATAGATGATACACTTGCCTTGCTCAACCTGGTGAGTTTTTCTTGTCCTTTTGCAAATGATGTTGGTTTGTAATACAACCCTCCCAGGAGGAGTCATAGGTGTGGCCATCTGCTTCTCTCCCAGCCTCTGGCTCCCAGCCTCTGGCCCCCAGCCCCAGGAGGTGCTGCTGCTATCTCAGTCACATGGCCCAGGGCTCTGCCCAGGGGAGGCCAAGCAGAGCTACCATGTGACCCCCTCCCTTCCTCCTCTCTAGGCGTGCATGATGACCATCACCCTCCTGCCTTACACAGTGAGTACAGCCGCTCCCATCCCCACTCAGAAGTGCAGGCCAGGGAGCTGCTTCAGGACCTGAGCCACAGGGCTGCAAGGAGGGGAAGGTGGGGGCATCAGTGGAACTGGGGAGAGGCATAGACCACTTTGGCTGGGCACAATGCTCCCAGCTATGCCGGAAGCTGAGGCAGGAGGATTGTTGAGTCCAGCCTGGGCAACATAGTGAGACCCAGTCTAAAAAAGGGAAAGAAACCAAGAGATCGCAGACGAGAGGGTCACTGACTCCCTGGCTCCTGTCAGGCCTTGCTGCACTGTGCTCCCACTCATCCGTCTAGGGCCAAAGGGAGTGTTCATTCACACTCAGTCCAACCTTCACACATATATCTGACATTCACACTCACATTCACAGTCAGGTTGATGTTCACAGTCAGTCTGACAGGCTGGCAGCTAGTGTGTCAGAGAATTCAGATCTGGGATTCAGTGGATTTGACGACACTTTGGCATTAACGCCTACAGTGGTGGGTGGGATTGCTCCCTCGGGGGGGGGCTGGGGTGAGCAGACCCCCGTGCCACTACCCTCAGCTGAGCTGGCTCTGTCTGCTGCACGCAGCATGGCTTCGGGAGGTATCTGCGTCCCCAGCTCCAGGCCAGGGGTCCTGGTAATCTTGTGGATTTTGTTTGTTTTTGGACACAGTTTTCCTTAATGGTGACCTTCCCTGATGTGCCTCTGGGCATCTTCTTGTTCTGTGTGTGTGTGATCGCCATCGGGGCTGTGCAGGTAGGCTGGGGGGGGATGTGCATGTGTGGTTGCCGACTGCCCTGCTGTGGAGCCCAGGACCACCTGTGAGCATGAATGTGGCCTGCCGAGGGCCCTGCCCTGCTGACCTGGGACTGGAGGTCCTCACAGCATCCGACGCAGGGCAGGGGTTTCCATCCCTCTCCTCACTCAGCACACCCTAGGGTGCCAGGCCACCTGGGGCCCCGCCCAAGCCCCTGCATGTGTGTGCTGACTGAGGGCTGAATGGCCACAGAGCCCTTTCTGCTGCCTGCCCACCAACAGGCGCTGATCATAGGCTATGCCTTCCACTTCCCACACCTGCTGAGCCCACAGCTGCGCAGCTCCACCCACAGGGCCGTGACACGGCAGCACATCCTGCTTCTGGTCCTCCGTGGCCCAGCACTGTGCTTTGCTGCAGCTGTTTTCTCCCTCTTCTTCTTCCCCATGGTAAGTGCTGCTGGGACAGCCCCCCGGGGGGGCTTAGCCCAGGACAAGAAGCCCAGGCCTGCCAATGGGCTTGAAAGCCAGCAGCCAATTTCTGCAGGCAGGAAAACCCTGGTCTGGCAGTGAGCCAGCATCAGAGCCAGCTCATTGACCATCCACATGCACATGGTTTAGTTCCTTGGGTTTCTAACCAGGCTGCACCCTGGGGGAAGACACTGACAAAAGTGTTTAGTGAGCATGTTGAGAGGCTTACAGGTGTAGAGCAGGTGGGCTGGTGAGCACCTGTGGCCCTGAAAAGTCACAGACCTGGCCAGGCTGGCCCCTCCCTCGAGGGTAGAATTGAGAGGCCAGGCAGAACAGTGTACCTTGGCAGGGAGGCCGCTGGTGAGGGCAAGAAGGTGGATGTCAGTGTGTGCTGAAGTCTAGGGCTGGCCTTGTGGCCTGGCTGCCTCAGAGACATCATTTTATGCTGGTGACAGCCAAGGGAGGAGATGGGGCCAGTGATACAGGCCAGGGCCAGGCTGTGAGGAGGTGGCAAGAGGGATATGAGTTGGGAAGGGTGTCCTTGGCTGTGCTTACTTGGTCAGTAGCAGCAGGGGTAGGGACAGAGTGGCCAATGTGGGGTGAGGGTGGGTAAGGCCTGGACAGGCAGGTGGCCATCAAGGAGGATGGGCGTAATGGCAGCAGCCTGAGGCCAACTCTTGCTCAGAGGAGACAGTCCCTTTCGGAGGTGGCAGGAATGTCTGGTGAAGGATGGCAGGTAGTGCCTTGAAGGGAGCAGCATTACGTGGGAGAGGCTGCATGCTTCTCTGTGTTGTCAAGTTGAGCTGTGCTGTCATGAGTTCTGTCCCTTTTTGTTGTCCAGTGTACCCCACTGCCCAATGAGTCGCCTTGGTTGTCTCTCAATCACGGACATTGGGCTGCCCTACTTTAGGCCTTTGTGATGTGCTCCTGTGAAAGTGGGTGCGTACCACCCCCTCATATCTGTTTTTGGATCTGGTGCACATGCCTAGCAGTGGACCTGCTATATCACATGGTCATTCTTATTTTAGTTTTTTGAGAACTCCATGCTGTTTGCCATAGTAGCAGTGCTGTTTGCCTTCCCATAAGCAGTGCGTGAAGTTTCTTTGTCCACATCCTCACCAGCACCACTGTCTCTGATTCCAGGGTCCTGGTGGTCGAGGTGGTGCCCCCGTGTGCTAGGTGCCCTCCCTGTTGAGTGCCTTTCCATGTCGTCAGGCTCTTCCCAGCTGGGTTCCAGTCTTTTGTTGAATTGTAACAGCTCCTTGTGTTCCCACCAAGCTCTCCCTTCTCTTTGGTACCCTTGTGCTCAACATAGTGTCCTTGACTTGGGGTTCTGCATCTCCACCAAGGATGATGTCCTTGTTTTTCCTGTCTCTCTCGCTGCTCCTCAGAGCAGCACCTGGGTTCTAGGGTGTGTGGTCCCCACCCTGTGGGAGCAGGCACTGACTTTCTGTATCTCCCTGCAGTCGTACCTGCTGATGGTGACTGTCATCTTCCTCCCCTACATCAGCAAGGCCGCCAGCTGGTGTAGAGACAGGCTTGTGGGTAGGCACTGAGACACCTAAGGATGTCAGGTGGGGCTGGGTGCATTGCATGGTGACCCTGGCCAGCTGCCCCGATCCACAGCACCCTGCCCATCTCCTCCCCTGTCCTACACAACCTAGTCCTTGGGGACAAGTGTAGTGATGGCCATGCTGGGCCCACAGCCTCAGAGACCGGGCCAGCTTCTCCCTCCTGGCATGTCCACAGGGCACAGGCATCCCCCAGACCACGGTGTGGAGCTCTTCACCTTTGACCTTCACGAGCCCCTCAGCAAGGAGCGGGTGGAAGCCTTCAGCGATGGAGTTTACGCCATTGTGGCCACACTGCTCATCTTGGACATCTGGTGAGGACCCCACTAGGGGCTGCCCCACCTGCCTACCAGGTGGATGCCCAGCGAGGCCCTGGCTAGAGGATACCCAGTCCCCCGGCCAGATGCTGTTTGTCTCCAACTCCCTTTTGTGAGCCCAGAGCATTTTGGGAGGTGGTGGCCCAATGCCAAGGAGGGCAGGGCTCCCAGGGAGTGGAGAGAGGGTGGTTTGGGGTTAGGGTGCCAGGGAGAGAGGTCCTTGGACAGCATGGCGCTCTGGGGCTCAGCCCCTCCTGTGTGCCATCAGCCCTTGCTCCTCCCACTGTTGACAGTGAACTCTGTTAGACTTCTCATTTCACTGATGGCTTCTGTTTGTAAGTGTTCTGCCCACTTTTTTCAAGTCTTCCTTAAAAAGACTGTCTGGTCCTGTGTTACATTTCAGGGCACACTCACTGCATTAAACATGTTGAACACTCTGGTTTTATACTCTATATATGATAGTCTGACTTTCCTGATACTTTCTGGGTAGGCTTTTCTGTTGTAATTTGTGAAGTTTTAAAAATTGGAAGCAAACTTTTCTTAATATCTCATTCCTGAGGCTTTGATTTTAAGTAAGGAATGTTAGGGACAACCTCCCCTTGCTTCTCCTTGGAGCCAACGCAATATGGTTAGGGCTGGGAGGCCACTGCACCCTGAAGACCCTGCCCTGTGCAGCCCCTGAGGCTCTGTCTCCTGTGCCTCCATCCTACCCTCCTTGCTGTCCACCCCTTCCACACCCAGCTGATAAAAGGTGCTATTTCCTGATGGCCACCCCAGGCCACCCAGAGTGGTTCTTGGTCCTTGCTGGTGCTTCTCAGAGGAGTGCAGAGGCAGGGAGGACCCAGGCTCGCAAGCCCCACCTCAGAGGGCTGGCCCAGTCCTAGAGGTGCCAGTTAGGCATGCATTTTGGATGAGTGGGAGGCACTTGGCAGTGTGCTGAGCATTTAGCCATGCTCTTGAAATGCATGCTGTGATGCTCAGACCCTCTGCCATCTGGGCCGGGAGCTGGTACAGACGTCCTGTGTTCTCGCTTCCCAGCGAGGACAACGTCCCCGACCCCAAGGATGTGATGGAGAAGTTCCACGGCAGCCTGGTGGTGGCCCTGGGCGAATACGGGCCGCACTTTCTGGCATACTTCGGCTCCTTTGCCACGGTGGGGCTGCTCTGGTTCGCCCACCACTCACTCTTCCTGCATGTCCGCAAGGCTACACAGGTCATGGGGCTGCTCAACACACTCTCACTGGCCTTCGTGGGTGGCCTGCCCCTGGCCTACCAGCAGACCTCAGCCTTCGCCCGGCAGCCCCGCGATGAGCTCGAGCGAGTGCGAGTCAGCTGCGCCATCATCTTCTTCGCCAGCATTTTCCAGTTTGCCATCTGGACTGCGGCCTTACTGCACCAGGCGGAGACGCTACAACCAGCAGTTCAGTTTGGTGGGCAGGAACATGCCTTCATGTTCGCCAAGCTCGCCTTGTACCCCTGTGCCAGCCTGCTGGCCTTCGCCGCCACCTGCCTGCTGAGCCGGTTCAGCACAGCCATCTTCCACCTCATGCAGATCTCTGTGCCCTTTGCCTTTCTGTTGCTGCGCCTGCTTGTGCGTCTTGCCCTGGCGGCCCTGCGGGGCCTGCACTCCCTGCGGCCAGCACACCTCCCACCAGGCCGGGCCAGTGAGGCTGATGCTGATGCCCAGGCCCAGCTGCTGCCTGCCTCCTGCTAGCACTAGAGGCCACACCCACTACCTGCCTACCCCACCCAATGCCATAGGTCTCATCTCCACTGTGAAACGTCTATCCAGAGGATGCATGCTGCTCTGCACAGGAACTTACACCCAGACATGGGTCTCTCCCTTACCAAGAACAAGTTGCCTTGGGGTCTGCATCTGGATGGCTTCAGGCAGGCAAGCTGCCCAGGACGCCAGATCCTCTGCCCAGCCACCCTGCCCACCCCACCCCATCCATCTGGGCCTCTGCCTAGGGCCCTGAGTGGCACCTCTTCCCCAAGACTCAGCTGTTGGACTGGGAAGTCCCTATCTGAGAGGCGACACACCCCAGACCACCTGCCCAGCACGTGCAGCACCACTGGGTCTCCCAGTCCTTCCAGCCCGTCCTGATGTTCAGCCGCTGGACACAAGTACAAGGGAGGGCACTGCAGGACACTGAAGCCCAACTCTATTTGTCCCAGGTATAAGTTAGGTCACATTCAGATAGCAGTACATCATAAGGAGAGGCCTGGGGCCCAGGGTCACAGCCCTGCAGGCAGTCTCACTTAAATAGAAGATAGACCACACAGACACAATTTACAAACGATTCCTGCAGGTTGAAGTCAACTAACTACGCCACTAAGGACTTGTTCTGAAGATGACAAGTGATGTAAACATAAGGACTGCTACTCTGAGACCACCAATGGAGTAGAGGTGCATGTGTCTGCAGTTTTGGCAGAAGCGGGGATGGGATGTGGCACTGCGGCATGGAGATTCCCGGGGAGGCACAGGTCACACCTGGAAGCCAGCCCATGTGCAAACCCAGCACCATGAGTGCTAGGAAGGGCTGGACCAGGTCGTCTCTTGCTTTGGGGACCTCTGCAGACTCCCTACACAGGCCGCTTAGTTTTGGTCAGATTCCTCCAGCATCTGCGGGGTAACAATGAGCTCCTGGGCACAGTTAGAAGCTCTTCATTCAAACCAGCCAAGTCATCCCAGCAGAGCGCTCCGAGGGGCTCAGCCAGCAGTACTGCCGGGGTAGATGGGAGCTGTGTCTACACTGGTGTGCCAGAGCCCAGGTTGCTGGCAAAGCATTATGTAAAGTGCTACGTTTAAGAACAAGGGCATTAAATGCACTCCCCCACATGTAGGTGTTATTTACACGTTCACTGACTGGACAGGGAAGTCCCGCTGGTCCCCTCTGGACACTAAATGCCCACCCCAGGGGCCAAGGGGGAACACTCGGGGCCCAGCCCACACTCCAGCTGCCACATAGTAGCCACCCTAGCCCACCCTGTCTCAGGGTGGGCACAGGTCCCCTCTCCCAGGTGAGGCTGGGCACCGCCCACAACCACCTCCCCTGGTAGAACCCCATGCAGTGATGAGACAGGAGTCAAGGGATGACACCTTCCCTGAGCCAGACGGGGGGAGGTCACCCCACGGCCACCAGGGCTGCACACCACCTGCCCACAGTGGGGAGGCAGGCCAGGCGTCTGCTCCAAAGGGGCATCCAGGGGACAGCCTGAGGGGCATAAGATGAGGTCAGAGGCCACCAAATAGTTCATTCCAGTACTGTGCTGCCCCAAGGGTCAGGCCAGTGAGGAGCCCTGTGCTCCCCTCCCAGGCACTGCCCAGGGCTGGGGAAAGGGGCCTCCACCCACCCAAGAGTTTCCACGTGACACTGGATCGGGACAAGGGCTGCAGACGTCCTGGCCCCAGGAAGATAGCGTGGGCAGGGCTGCAACAAGTCCACCGGATGGACGGCTCCAGCGCAACCTGGACCTCTCAGCCCCTACTTAGCGCTGCCCTCGGGGGCAGGCACAGCATCCCCCCTGACGGCTGCAGCCTTCCTGGGCTTCTGCTTGGCCTTCCTCAGCATGTGGACCTGTCCCGAGATGGGCAGGATGGATCAGAGAGTTGGGGATGCCAAGATGCAGCCCTGGGACCCAGAGGCAGCCAACCACTCTCAGCTCAATTTCACCGGGGTTAGAGTTAGAGGCTGGCAATGCTGCGGCTTGCTGGGCTCAGCCTTTGGTCCAGGTCCTCCCTGAGAGGCCTGGCATCTCCACTGAGGAGCCACAGGGCTGGAAAGGCTGATGCCCGCCTCAGCTCCCAGGGCGTCCCGACTCACAGATGGCCCAGGTCCAGCTGGGCAGCAAGGCCACCCCAGCCACCCCACAGCTGTAGCCACCCAACATACCTTGGGACCCGCAGCTGAGATGATCATGTGTCCTGGGGCCTGCACCCAGGGCTCACCGTCCACCTGCACAGGCGTGGCCTTGAGGAGCGTGACACGGAAGTAGGAGCCCTGGGCGATGCGGATGCCGGAGCGCAGTCCCCCCTGCACCTGGCCCTGGGAGGAGGGTGGGAAGCCAGCTTAGCAGGCAGTGGGGCAGCACAGGAGGCTGTCTGTAGCCCGGTGCTCACCATGTGCATGACGCCTGTCACGCCCACCACCTCCAGCAGCCCATCATCCATGCGTGGCTTCTCAAACCTCGAGTCATTGTCCGAGCCCCAGAGGTCAGCTCCTGAACCCCAGCTGCCAGAGAGATGGAGGGGTACACCAGGGTTAGGCGCGGTGCCTGGCCCACCCAGGCCTGTGGAGCCTCATTGGGGGCAGCGCCTGTACACCTGGGGATGTTGATGAAGATGAGGCCCTCAATGCTGGGCAGCTCCACCTCCCTCTGCTCCACCTGCAGCCGGATCTCCTTGTGTAGGCCACGTGAGTGGCTGATCTTTTGCAGCCCGACCCGCACATACACACCCTTGTTGTGGAATCTGCAAGACACACAAGTCAGGTTGCTGCTAGGGGCTATACCTGGCTGAGCACGTGCTCCTGCCTGTCGGCCCCATGGTACCTGCTGGTGAACTTGCCAGGCTCCTCCTCCCGCGCCTGGTGGAAGTCCAGGCTGAGCTCGGCGTCAATGCCAATTCCACAGTAGTTACTCATCTGCACAATCTGGAGACAGAGGGCTCTTCCAGGATGCTGCCCACGGTGTCTGGCTGCCTCCTTCCAACCCTCCTCTGCGCTGTTGCCCCTTCCTGGGGCTGTTCTGCTCAGCCACTCAGAAGCCCAGGAAGGCCGTGTGCCCCAGTGTGGCTGGGAGGAAGGGAGTGTGGGAGGGTTGTGGGCAAGAGCCAGGGGCCACTCGGTACCTTGGGGGGCTCTGCATCCACCACACTGTTCTCTGTACCAGCAGCCTTGTGAGCATCTAGCAGAATGGTCCAACGGTCCATAAGCACAGCATCCGCCTCATCCACAGACACCAGCATGGAGAACGGGTCCTCTCCACTGTAACCTGCACCCCAGCGGAGGACCCGACCGAGGTCATTCCCTGCAACAAAGGTGAGACTTGGAGGGACACCACAACGCCTCTGGAGAGACCTTACCTCAGAATGGAGGGGATACCACAGGACAGCCCCCTATAGGATAGAGACCCCATCACAGGACTGAGACATCTCCAGGACGGAGATGTCACCACAGGTCAGGGGTCCAACCACAGACCTTGCTCAAAGCCTGGGATAGGGATATCCTCAGGTCCCATCCTCCTGCTCCATGGCAGACCTCACCTGTGCCCAGAGGCAGAATAGCAACAGATGGCTCCTGGCAGGCCAGACGATGCCGTGTCTCCTCCAGGGCAGTGAGAACCCAGCCCACAGTGCCGTCACCACCACACACCAGCACACGGAAGCAGGGCACCTGGGAGAAGAGGTGGAACCTGTGTGGGAGACAGGAGTACCCACCACCTTGTGGGGTCCACCCATGACCCAGGGCAGGACCTACCCAATGTCCCCTGACCCAAGCACCCCTTTCCTTTTCACATGTCCAACTCTGGCCACACGAAGGACTTGGAAGGGCAGGGCAGGGTGCTTCCTATGTGAGACTGTGGACCCTCACTCACCCGGGAAGTGGCCCCCCATTTGTCAAATCGAAGACCTGGTGAGGGTTCAGCAGCTTCCGGAAACTGCAGAGCAGGTCTCGGCCCTTAAGGCCACCACTCTTGGGGTTCACAAACACGAGGAGGGGGCAGCAGTCTGGGGGCAGCTTCCCGTGCTGTGAAAGGGGAGGATGGGTGAGGGTGGGGCCTGAGGTCCCCCACAGTCCCCCATGGTAGCTGCTAGCAGTGCCCAGCCCAGGACCGCAATCCTGCTAGGCCAGGGCATCCCTCCTGAGGAAGACAAGGCTGCCCCCTTACCTGCCAGCCCCTGGGGCCACATACTGATCCCCACCCCATGACAATACAGGACAGCCTTCCCTAAGAGGGTCATCTGGGCTGCCAGCCACTTGGAACTCAGCATGAAGGCCAAGGCCAGACCCACTGTGACACGTGCCAAGGGCCCCTAACCTACCAAACTGGAAGCCACAGGGGACCCTGCCTGGCACTGCCAGCCAGCTGGCCTCAAGGAGCCACCCCACACCCTTTGGAAGTCAGCAGCACTGAGGGGCAGGACTTGGCACACAGGTGGCTGCCCAACCTCTGGGCATGGGAAAAACCCATGTTGCCAACAAAAGCCCAAGAAACAGCCCAGGAGTCTGGACAGGGTGGGCAGGGCTGGGGTCCCTGTGACGGGGTAGGGGGAAAAGAGACAAACAGGCCAGGTGCAGACACAGGGTGGGTGGTGGCACACGGGCTGGGCCGTGGCTGGGGCAAGGACACACTCAGGGCCGCGTGGCTCATGGGCAGGCAGGGCTGCCTGTGGCCACCACTTACCCACTCGCCCCAGGGCGGGCAGCTGACAGGAGAGAGAAAGTGGTGTCAGCCTCACACCCAGCAGGGCTGCCTCCATGGGCAACGGCCCGGCCAGAGGAAGGAGGGACCAGAGGGTTATACCCACCCAGGGTCAGATCCCAGCCTCATTCTGCTCTTACCACTGCTCCCAGAACAGGATTGAGGGCCAGGGCCTGGTTGCAGAGCAGCCATGGACACCTGGGTCCTGGGACCCTCAGAGTAGGCAGACAGGTTCAGAGCGCACTGTGCAGATGCAGGGTGGGGTCTGGCTGCAGCCCCTCGGGTTGCTTCACACGTGCCACACCCATGAGCCGTGCCCCTCACCCCAGGCTGCCCACTAATTAATTCCTGTTCCTGGCACTACTGGCTCCTGAGAGAGGCTTCCAGAGTCAGGAGCTCCATCAGCTGGCCAGAGGTAGCCCAAGGCTCAGAGTTGGGGCCCTAAAGGCACCAAGGTGGGCAGCAGCACACAGACGTGTGGTCACACTATGCCCTTAATGAGATGGCCACTGGGGGACTTGACGTACCCATCCAGCCTGCAGTAGCGTCCTGTGTCCTCCCTACAGGGTAGAGGCCTCAGGGTCCACAGTGCAGAGTAGATGGCCAGCCCTGGCCCTATGGGCCCCAAGAATAGGTCTCACCACTGGGCAGACTCGGACAAGTACAGATGCTCTGACCTCCACCCTCTGTTGTAAAGTGGGCAAACAGCCCATGCTGGGCTTCTGTGAGGGCTGACCAAGGTGGCACGTACCAGCCCAGCAAAGTCAAGAAGACAGCAGACAAGACCATACCCAGGTGCATGGACGTGTGGACGTCCTCAGGGGTGTAGACATCCTTGAGGGTGTGAACACTGGCCTGGAACTTCCCACTCACCATCACATCCGGGAGCACCAGTGTGGTCAGTGGCTGGCCATGCACAGCTGTGTCCCTCCCCAGCATGTATAGCCGCTCGGCCTCAGCAAAGCAGGTGACATCCAGCACCACTGCACCTGCAACAGGTGGGCCACTACTCAGGCCAGGCTGGCCTATGCAAACCCCTCAGGTCAGCTGCTGAGGGAGGTGTCCACAGCAACAAGATCCATGTCAAGGGATCAGGGCCTGGAGCCCTGGCCCACCCCCTGCGTGGAGCCATAGGTGCTGCAGGGGTCTGGGCACCCGAAAAGGGGGGGACAAGGTGCACATAAAATCTTTCCCAAGAAAAGGTACAGATCCAAAAAGAGCAAGTCTTAGACAACAGCCAAGCCTCAGAGTATTTCAGCAAAGCATCAGAAGTGAACCAGGACAAAAGCAGGGGCATCACCAGGCAGACAGCTGCATCAGAGGAGCCTGCACCCCCAGGAGGGAAAAAGGTGGCCTTGGCCCCCTGGGCAAGGATGTCACCAGGCAGTAGCTCACCTTGGGAGTAGACGTGGCTCACGGACACTGCAGCAGCTGCACAGACAGATGGCGGTCAGAGTACCCAGCACCCAGGCTGACCCTTGGGACATCACATCCAGTGTGGCCCAGCCCAGGCAACCCTACGCCCATCCCATGGGTCCCCATGCCTCCAGAAGCAGAGTGCAGGGACCTGGGGTAGTGACCATAGAAGGAGGGCGCCAGAGCCCCAGGGGAAGGTAAAAGGAACTGGTCCGAGTCAGCTCCCTCCCAGCTGAGCCCAGTCCACCCAGAATCAAACCTTTGGTGGCCATGGCCTCATGTAGCAGGTTGCCATATTCTTGAGGGGACAGGCCAGGTGGCAGGCCACCCACAAACAGGGAGATATGGGGGGTCACAGCCTTGCTCTCAGCCACGTAGAACCGTGTCTGGCTGGCCTGCCGCAGGGATGTCTGTAGGGAAAAGGCACCAGGCTTGGGGACACTAGGCAGTATCCCATATGGGCTGTTCCACCTCCTCTCCCCCGGGAATTGGGCATCTCAGAGGAAGCCACATGAGGGGGCAAGGCCTTGCTCTGGATGCCCATCCACCCCCTGGGGCCACTCTGCTGGACGATGTAGGGCCAGAAGGCAACGCCCCTCCCAGGGCTGGCGTCTACCCCACTGACCTGCCGGATGTCCTGAAGTCGCTGAAGCAGGGACTCCTCCTCAGCCAGCACCATCCGCTGGACTACAGAGGGGCACAGCTATCAATCAGTGCCTCCCACATCTCTGTAACAGCTGCCCTGGGCCCAGGGCACAGATGGGCAAGGGCACAGGCAGGAGTGGTCAGAGGGTGGGTCAGACTCACCTTGCCTGCTACCCATGAGCACCTCCACCAGCTGGAAGCTCTCGGGACTCTCCGCCTGTGCAGGGGGGAATGGCGTGTTGGGCCTGGGACCAGTCCCCTCCCAGCACAGCCATAGGGACAGGGTCTGGCCCCAGAGTAGTGGCCCCTGGCAGCCCACACATACCTGGCGTCCAAGTAGTGGGAGGACCTCTAGCACCACAGTGCGCACTGTGCTCTGGGAAGTCACGCGGATGGACACGTAGGCCACACCTACCCTGTGGGGGGATAGGCTTGGAGCTTGGTCCACGGCCCCTGTCCCCCTACTGCCCCAGACTCCAAGCCTCAGAACTTACTTGAGCCAGCCAGGGTAGATCTTCAGGACTTCCTGGGTGCGGGGCCGTGCACGGATGACCCAGGCCTCAGGTTCATGGGTCCCAGAGCCCCTGCCGCTGTCCTCTTCAGCTGAACCACCACTCCCAGCCTTTCCTGGCGCCTGGGCATCACTAGCCGGCAAGGGCAAGGGCAGTTCCTGAAGCTCAAAGTCCCCAGGGTCATCAGTGACATAGTAGGCCCGAAGTGCTGCCTCCTGCAAGGTGTGGGGGGACCGGTGGGGGGAACAGGTGTGGACAGATGTAGAGCAAAGGGACCAGGTGTAGGAAGGAGGTGAAAGTGCCGAATGCGAGGCACCAGGTGAGGTGGGGCCAGGTGTGGGGAGCAGGCAAGGGGGGCCAGGTGTGGGGGGGTCAGGCATGGGGAACAAGTAAGGGTGCAGGGGTGGGGAGCAGATGAAGGCCAGGTGTGGGGAAGAGTCCAGTATGGAAGAGCTGATGGGGAGCGAGCAGGGGGACAGGCTGGGGCCAGAGGTCCAGGTGTGGCTGGCACTAGGCCTCCTAACATCCCAGACCCCTCTTACCAGCACCTCCTCGCTCCTGGCCAGGCGAGGCACAGTAACCAGACGGAAATGGTTTCTCCTCATGGTATCGTTGCCATCAAAAATCTTCAGGGTCTGTTTGCCTGGCCAGTGGGGAGCAGTTAAGACTTTGAGAGAAGGGGGATGGAGGGGTGAGTGGCGACCACCAGGGGCACTTACTGGACTCGGGGGCTGCCGGCACATCCCTGCCAGGGCCCAAAGCAGCGCTTCCATCCATACCATCATCCCCATCACCTGTGGGGTGAGCAAAACTTCACACTCAGCGCTCTGCCTAGCTCCCCACACCTCCAGGCTGCCCCGATGCTCACCTAGCTCCAGGACTGCAGTCTCAGCAATACGGAAGCAATGCATCTTGCTGAAATTGCGGGACACCAGGCGCACACACCCAGGGGGCAGAACCATGGAGCGCAGCCGCCCAAAGGTGCACTCGGGAGCCAGCACCACAGAGCACAGCGAGTGGGCCTGTGGGGCATGGCTGTGAGCTGGTGCCCGCCGGAGGTCACACTGCCCTATCCCATCCCCACGTGACCACTACCCCATCCCATCTTGTCTGCCCACCTGGACACGTCCCTGCCCCTCCCCTCCCACATGCACACCTGGACGCCACACCACTCGCAGCGCACACCAGCCAGCACGTCCGAGGAGCCACAGGTCTTCCTGCAGATCTCACAGCGTCCACCCAAGGGTAGGTTCCCCTCCCGCCAGTGGTGGTGGTAGGTGTCCTGGGGGGCAGGGGAGCAGTCAGGGGCTTGCCCCCACCTGGCCATCCTGCCCCAGTTCCCATGCACTCACATGATCATGGTGTCCATCCTGGTGACACTGGCGGCAGTCGCTGCAGGCGAAGGGCACACAGTCGGCGTGAACGTGCAGCTCACACACTGGGGGGTGGGCAGGGTTAGGGGCCTCTGGCAGCACCCCACTCCCACACTCCTTGCTGACTTAGCCTGGGCTAGGGCCAACCCAACCTCTGCCACCCTGTGCCTGGCTCCCTTCACCCTAAGTGTGCTCTGCCTGTCTTGCACCCCTCCAGTCAGCCCTGAACCTCCACCCATGTCCCTGGGCCACTGTGTGTCACAGAGACCAGGTCCCTGGGTGAAGGGCTGTCTGAGGCTGAGCAGTTCCGTGGTACCTTCGCAGCGGAGTGCAGGTGCCTCCAAGCCCTTGCGGCAGACAGCACAGAATTTTCGCTTGTAGAGCCCCCGAGGGCCAAAGCAGTGGGCTACAGGGACCTGCAGGGTACAGAGAACCTCAGATCTGGGCTGCCCACACTGCACTCTCGCCTGAGAGTCTGCCTGACACTCTCCATGGGTCCAACCCAGGCTGCCCTGCTGGGACTGCCCCACAATGGTCCTCCCCTCCACAGCTCTGCGGGTCCCCCAGTCCTGCTGGGCACTGTCACCCAGGAGGTCTGATCTGGGGCTGGCTTGGCAGAATGGGGCAAGGGAAAAGGCCCAGTAAGTGCACACAAGTGGAGGAGGGGTCAGCTGCCAACTACGTGTCCTCTGGGCTCTGAGGCCCGACATGCCTCCTCAGGGACCCCACAGGAGCTGCAACCGAGTATGGGCCTGTTGCCTCTCCATGGGAGCCCAAGAGAGGAAAGGGCAGCGTTCACCCTGACGCTTGTCCTAATGCTGCTACTAAGTTAAAATATGCACAATAAAAGGGAGCTAGTGTGGACCTGGCACAGTGTGGGTGATTTTTATTTTCTTCTTAAATACTTATATCCTCTAAACTTTCATCATGCATATATTTGAAATACATACTTGTATTTTTTTAATTTAATAAAGTAAAAAAGAAAACATGAGGATGAACTTGAAAAAACTGAGGCTCAGGACATCCACATGAGGGGCTTCCCTGCTGGCTGCGATGGTGTGAGAGTGCAGGGGCACATGACCCACATCCCCTCCTGCACTTGTACCTGGCAACCAAGTTGTTCCCCACTCGCATGGGGCAGACACCAGACAAACCCATCCCACAGCAGATGGGCCCCCTTGCTGGCATGCAAAGCCCACTGCACAGCCAGCTCCAGCCTACCCACCATTGAGCCCTAGGAGGGACCCTCCCCAGCACAGGCGGGAGAGGGTAGGGGGGGTACTATCAGCCCTCCTCAATATGCCACTGTCCACAGAAGGGAAACTGACACCCTGCCAAGACCTGGCCAGGCACCCTACTACCCCATGAGGGACCCCACGGAGGGAAGTCTGTGGCCCAAACCTGCTTACTTAAGCCAGTCACATTAGCTGCCTATCCACACACACTCATAAGAAACAGCAGAGAGCCCTTGTGCTCTTGGCTCAGCTTCTCCCAGTGGTGACCTCTTGCAAAACTGGCCAGTGTCACAACTGGGCCCTGCTAGGTACAGTGGACGCAACACCCCTCCCCCAGGACCCCTCATGCAGTCCTTCATAGCCACACCCAGCTCCCTGCCTGCAGTGTGCAGTGCTTCCTGAGCTTCCTCATCTGGAGACTCCATCATCTGTGCCCTTTGGGTGGGACCAGCTTTCTCAGTGTGACTCGCTCCTGGGGGCCCATCGGCAGCTCTTCTGCCTCATCTCTGAGCAGCACTCTGCCCTTTGCTCCCCAGCCATGGCATGACTAAGGTGGAGGTCAGCCAGGGATCAGCACCGCCAAGAGCCAACCCTTGTGCCCACAGCACTCACCCGCACCAGGCTGGGTGCCACACCAGCACATGGAGTCTTCACGTGCCGCAGGCACTTTTCGTGGGACATAAAGTTGCAGACTGTGGGAAGGAGAGTCAGAAGTTGCCACCACCCCCCTGGAGAGCCACCATCCCACTCAGTGGGACAGGTCCTGCGACCACAGCAGGGCACCAGCATCGCATGGCAAGGCTCAGGCGCCTGTCACAGCAGGCCATTCTGTCAGAAGAGTCTCTTAGTCCAGTCCCACTGAGCATCAGGGGCCATTCCTGTCACTTCCACCACTGTGGAGCCTGGGTGACATCAACACAGATGCTGCGATCCCCATGAGAGGCTGCAGCCCATGTGTGGCACTGTGGCCATCCTGAAGGGTGCTGACTGCATCCTGTCATCAAGAAGGTGGCCCTGCCCTCCCCCACCTCTGTCCTGGTCTTATGAGGGGTGGTCTGGGGCTACTAACAGGCAGGGGATTTGTGAGCTGGTGCACCTGTGTAGCCCCAGAGCTAAGACATCCTTCCCTCCCCCCCAGCTACACAGTTTCCTCAGAGCCCCACAGCTATGTCAAGCAGGGACAGCCAGGTGGGCACTCCAGGAGGCAGGAGCCACCAGGAGAGAAGATGGCCTAGGGCCCCAAAGGAGGTGAGCAATGACCCGGAGCTGGGTGGGAGGGTCCCAGGGAATGCCCCCACTCTGGTAGGAGGACAGGTAAGTGTAAGAAGGGTGGAGGGGCTGGCCCAATAGAGCAGCAGGCAGCTTGTGCCAGCACATTCAGAGCCAGGGCAAGGTGGGACAAGAAGCTTGCTGGGCCCCACAGCTAGGGCAGGGCAGAAGAGGCCACATAGGCAAAGGAACACAACCTCAAGACTGCCTGGAATAAAACTGCCTGTGGGGCTCAAGCCACCCACTCATGGGACAAACAGCTCCCTAAGAAGGCACCCCGCACCCCCACCACCAGAGTCCTACTAGAGGAGAGACAAAGTCCCTCCGCAGACTGCTCTGGGGAAAGTCCCGGAAGTAGGCTGGCGTGCAATGAGAGAAGTAGGGACGAGGAGGAAGGTCAGGCATCACTTCAGAGCTCTCCCCAGGGCAGCCCATTTGCTGTACTTGGAAAGCACTGGCCAGCTTCCTCCTCCACCCATGCAAGTAGCACCCAAGGGTGCTCCCGACACAGAGAGGCCTCTTCTTCCTATACCCTGGCCAGGCTGTATCTGCCCAGGACACAGCCCATTCTCCAGACACTGCCTGGGAGGAGCCGATGGTCCTCTCCCAAGCACCAGGTCAGCCCTGCAACACAGAAGCTGCTTTGCTCCAAGACTAGCTGAGGGATCCTGAGCCCCTCAGACTGGAGGACCCTCTGCAGAGGTCACATCTGTAACGGATCCATAGTCTAGCCTTAGATTGAGTCCTGCCTTCATATCTCTCACCTCTGCAAGGACCCAGGCTCTAGCCTTGGAGTTAACGGTTCTGTCTTCACCATCTCACCTCCCCAGGGCCTAGCCTCAGACCTGGAGCTCCGCCTCCAGGGCTGTTCACCTGCACGGTGAATCCACTGGTCTAGCCTCGACCTGCAGCCCTCTGTCGCCATCTCTCACCTGTGTGCTCAGACCTGGAGCTGACTTAGCCTACATACTTGCACCCTCCAGCTCAGGGGGCCACCTGGGCAGGGTGGTGTTTATGAACTGAGGGATAAATCGGGGGGAGCACCCCCAGGGGTCAGGAGGCAACCTGTGTGAAGCATCCCGCCCACGAAGGACCGGGCAAACACTCCAGTGTCAAAGGTCCATGCCCTCCAAGGGCCGGGCTTGCAGGAGAGAGCCGGGAGGCGGGGGAAGGAAGGATGCCCGCACCCAGCCAGGAAGGATGGGAGCCTAGTCGGGACGGGACGCCACACCTGGGTGAGGCGGCCTGGGCTCGCGCGCGGCCTGCGCAGAGCGGCCGCGCAGAGGACGGCGGCCCGGCCCTGCCCGCGCCCTCAGCAGCAGGGCCGGGACCCGGGCGAGGGCAGGCGCGAGCACAGGCCGTAGTCGGCGACGCACGCTCACCGTCGCACAGGAAGCCGGCCAGCCCCCAGATGAAGTCGGAGCAGAGGTGGCAGAACGTGGGCTTGGTGAGCGTCACCTTCCGGAAGCTGTGTCCCGGCACGGCGGGTCCCGGGGCTCTGTCGCCCGCCCGCCCCGGCGCCT